ACCGCATTTAGAATGGCTCAACAAGTAACCGTTAAAGTCAACTTTTTTACAGCTTCTACTCGAATTTCCATCCTAAAGAAAAACCTCTTGGCGAGAGTTAAAAGTTGAGCCATTCCAAATGCGACCAAAATATCTCAAAAAAAAAAAACGTGAAGCGGTTTAATTTATATTGTGTTTGACCTCGAAATTCAAATGACCTTTTTTGCCGCAAAACACGTCCCTACTTCGTATTGAACTCGATTTGAATAGATTTTGAGTTGAATCGAAAGTTTTAATTAAAAATGAGTCACTTTTTTCCCAGTATTGACGATTCATGTTAGTTTTTTTTTCGTCTCTCCCAATCTTTTCCGTTTGTTTATTTTCGCAGATCGATCAACTCCCGTTCTCTTTCCTTTTTCCATTGAATTTGACGAATATGTGAAGCACTCTTACACGTAGAAACAGAACAAATGTTCGCGTTGGCTTCATTTTCCTCGACCTTTTCTCGTTTCTCGAAACGCAGTCATTCTTTTAATTCCAGGCCTAACTGCTTATTAAATTTCGCACCCTGGTTGCTAGGCAGCTGCTTTTCTCATATCGATAAGCCATTCTTTGTCCGTTCTCGCTCAGTTTCTCCTTTCTTCCCCTTTTATATCGAGTTTCCTACATTTAATTGTATCATACTCGATTTTAAACGTCATGGTCGCACGTAGAATGCCTCAAAGAGTTGTTGGAACATTATTCACATCCGACTAGAAGATTTGAAGATCTATTTAACACTTCTGATTGCGCAGGTCGTTTTTGGTCAGGTGCGCCTTATAACCATTCCGCGTGCGAATTTACCAAGCGATAATCGAGAATATCAATGTTTTTCTAGGAAGATATTTTAAAGCTGACTAAAGAACGTTTTTTACCCCCCGGTTGAACTTTTGACGAAACTTTGCAGAGATGTACTTTGAGGTCTCCTGAATCCAGAACAAGAAAAAAATTTCTCGCAATAGACCTTGTTTTCGAGATTTGCAGTCTCGAAGTTTGCACGTGAGATCTGCGGAAGCATGGAAGAGGGAATATGTTGCGCGCAGTGTCGGTTGAATGCCAGGTGATTCGTGGCAGAGTGGTATGAGGGCGCGCACTATGTGCGAACTGTAGTGGGTTCGGCCCCATTTCGCTGCCAAATTTTGCAAAAAATCTTTTGCCGAATGTTTAAAGAAGGATGATGCAATTTTTCAAACTCTTCGCAACAGTATTCCTTTATTCATTTGAATTTTTAGAAAGATTTTTTTTTGTTTTGTCATAAGCGCTGAAATTTTGTTTGGTTTGAATGTATTGGTTGTGTTTTGCATATTGTTATACTTCAGACGGGTTGATATTCAAGCATCATTTCAAAATTTTTGAGAATGGAAATTTTTTTTATTCCACAAAATTAGTTTATTTCAATTCGTTCCATCCAGGTGAATGGCTTTGAATGATTGGAGTTTTGGCAAAAGATTTTTTGCAAAACTCGTCAGCAAAGGGGTTTCGAACCCACCACAGCTCGCACATAGTGCGCGCCCTCATACCACTCTGCCACGAATCACCTGGCATTCAACCGACACTGCGCGCAACATATTCCCTCTTCCATGCTTCCGCAGATCTCACGTGCAAACTTCGAGACTGCATATCTCGAAAACAAGGTCTATTGCGAGAAATTTTTTTCTTGTTCTGGGTTCAGGAGACCTCAAAGTACATCTCTGCAAAGTTTCGTCAAAAGTTCAACCGGGGGGTAAAAAACGTTCCCTAGTGAGAGATATTTGTAGAATGCCGTTGTTCGGATCGAAGAAGAAGAGCAAGGCTGCAGAGGCCGGATGCGGCTATCCGGTGCAGAAATCAGTCCCGCCTCCTCCGCCTGGACTCACCCATCCGATTCAGCCTCAACAAGGTTTCCCGCAAGGATGCTATCAGGTCAGTTGGAGAGATCAATGAACAAGTGAACATTGAAAACTGTTGTGGAAATGTTGAAACGGTGAAATTTTCGAGGCGGTCTGTTGGACATGATAAAACTGTCTTGAGTTTCCATATTTTGCATAATTGAAAGTTAATTCATTAAGAAGGCAAATCTTACTGTAATTATAGTGCCTTGATTTCCAGGAGTTCCAGAAAAATTTCAGAACTATATTTACTGAAAAAAAATTCTAGAATAGCAAAAACCGAATTTTTACATTGTGCTTTAAACTGTGAAGCATGTTTAGCCGATTCAAGGCAAACTTGGGACGCTGTGGAGGCGTGTCTGCGCTCTCCACCAACCAGCCACTATCTCTTTTATTACCGTGTCAGGACCCTTTATTCAATGGCTCAAGTCAGCCGTGAATGAGCTGTAGGCGCCAAGTGGCGGTTTTTCAGCAATTAGCTTCAGACTTTTTCAGAGGATCTGAATCAGTCTCTTTTTAGCAGGCCAAATTTTTGCTTCTTTTTTGCGAAGAAGCCTGCAGCGGTTAGACCAGGCATCGAATAAAATTTAAGAATCCCTCAAGATTTTTCGGTGGTATGAAAAAAAGACCAGCGAAAATTCAAACGGCGACTTTTCCGATTTTTTCATATCGCTAGGGAACTTTCCGACGGCCACCTTTCCGACGAATCTTTTTCCAACTTTTTTTCTCGATAAAATCTTCGTTTTCAATCTTGCTATATGAAGTAGGTAGTTGGTTAATGATTAAAAACACAAAGAAATAGGAAAAAAAGTAAATAGATGTCTTATAAACCGAAAAAAATATAAAGGAAAAAAAGTCGGAAAAAAAGTTTCGCCGGAAAGGTGGCCGTCGGAAAGTTCCCTAGCAATATGAAAAAAATCGGAAAAAGTCGCCGTTTGAATTTTCGCTGGTGTTCTTTTCATATCACCGATTTTTCATCCACATCCAAACTTTCGCCGAAAAAATCTTTTTACTTGTCAAGTCAAAGTTTCTCCCAAACTTTTGAATAAAAATTGAAACAATACGGGATTTTTGATGTAAAAGAAAATCGAATATTAGACTTGAAAAAAATTGCGCTTTTTTCGCCCCACGTTTTCGCATGAGGCTTTGCTGAAGCCGGAGCGGGTCGGGCTTAGAGAATAGCAAGGGTTCCAAAAACTGACGGGCCGGCCTTCTCACAAGCCCGGTCCTGAGAACACTCTTGAAGAGGAATAAAAAATTCCTCTATTCTTTCTTTTTCCAGTCGGCCATGCCAGTCGGAACGGCGCCTGGGACGCAAGTCGTGCACGTGATGATGCCGGACTTTGAAACTCGGGCCGAACGTTTCTTGGGCGACATTCTCGATGGACCTGACTACACTAATAAGGTTGGCCCGATTTCTTAATACATGTTAATTTTGAAAAATACGTGGAGCAAGTAACTTTTTTTCAGGTTCGCGATCCGAGAATTCCTCCGCCGCCTGGATCTTTCTTCATTACGACTGTGGTTAGTTCATCTTCAGGTCTTTAAAAAAATTAATTTTTGGCGGAGTAATAGTTCCACTTTCAAAATATAACCTAGAACATCAAATTGTGTTCATAAAAAATGTAGAAATTTTTTTAGGATCCAAAAAAGTTTACTATAATAACCTTCCTTGAAAAATGTGACAAAAAAGAATAAAATTATCATTTGATCATAACTCATCTGATAACTTCTCGAGATTCTTCGATTTATTCCATGCTGTAAAGCTCCTTCTATCCGTAGAGCATAAAGGTGTCTCCTCATAAAGGCTGTTTTTTTCTTGTTACTTTTTTTCAATCCTAAAAATATTTTTAAGATCGCGTTAGGAATTTTTTTGTCCATAGTTATTTCGTTTTTTGAATATGAAATTCAAGGAGAAAAGAACTTTTCAGGCTGCCGGTCCTTCTGGAAGCCACTTGCCTCCGCAACCGCTTCAGCATCCGCACAGCGCTCCGGCTTATACCGAGGAAAAGCCGCCTTCCTACGATGAGACTTTCTCCGAGGAAAAGAAGCGTCTTTGAACGATACCTTTCCGAATTTCCTTGAAAATAACTTCCCGATGTAATTCCTCCCATCTGTCGCATAATTAATGGCATATTTTTTGACTTTTCCGAGCTTCGCCCGTCAGATTAGTTCTTCAAACGCAACTGTTATGATCTCATCCTGTGTTTCTTTTTGATCCTGTGATACTAATCAAATTTCCATGTTGATAGAAAAATAAATAATTCAATAATTTTCAGTCTTTTTCGTATTCAAAATTCGTTTTTTTCGAAAAAGTTCCGATGATCAAGGGAAAATGGTCTAGCGTAGCGGTGCAACTAGACAACAAACGCTATAACGTAGCGAGTCTCTCTTATCTCTCAATAGTATTTGTTGGTGACGACGGGACTCTTCGACCCATGATACTTTCGGCTTTTACTTCAATATTTTCTAATTAATTACCTTTAAAAACTTTTAAGTTTATATCTCCCAAGGTTTTTACAATAAAAATTCTAATCATCAAGCTTTTTTTTTGTTTTGAAAATTTTATGGCGATCTTTTATCAAGTTCGGTTTGCGCCCCACGGTACAAAGTGCAATCGGCAGCCGCGGTCGGTCACTTCCCTTTTTCTCTTCGCTTTTTTCTTTCGGTTGAAATTTTTCATGTTCAATGGCTAGTACGTCATAAGAGCTTGATCCATGTTTGAAAAAAATCCTCTAAAAAAATGGATATCAAAAATTTTTTTTTCTTATATTTATGTACAAATTTTTGAAACTGACGATTTTCGAAAAAAATCTTTTTGTTTACATTTTCATCAGTGATAATATATGTACAGTTTTCCATTTAACGCCGTGTTGTCGTCAAAAAAAAAGAGTCAAAAATGCCACAATAAATTAGCTGCACTTTTTTTTTTCTTATCTCAGATTCTTCTTTTTTTCCTTTTGCGTTGAAACAGTCATATTTTTGCAAAACGATTCCTTTAATCTTATCTAAAACAGCTTTGTTCAGATGTGATATTTTTAATCCAAAAGAATATTATTTTTTTTTTCATTTATTTTCCGCTTCTTTTTCAGGGAGGCATCCATCTGAAGCAAGATGTCGGACGTATTTTTGAACTTCATCGCCGGCGGCGTTGGCGGATCCTGTACCGTCATCGTTGGACATCCGTTCGACACAGTCAAGGTATGATTTTTGAACGAAAAACGACTGTATTCTTTGGAATTGAAGATTGAAACTGTAAACCGTCCAGAAAAGGAAAATTTTGATTTTATTTTTTGACTAGTAGGAATAATTTAAAAATCTCTCTCAACTTGACAAGGTTATTGAAATTCTCAATGAAAATGGAAAATATTACAATAAGGATTAGATTTTTTTTTCTCAGGAAAAAGGAAAGAGACAAGAACTACATATCACTCTCTTGAATTTGAACTGAAAATCTATGAAATAAAGAAAAAAAAGCGAAAAATTCTCAGGTGCGGCTTCAAACGATGCCTGTCCCGAAACCTGGGGAGAAACCGTTGTTCACGGGTGCGCTGGACTGCGTCAAGCAGACAGTCGCGAAGGAAGGCTTTTTCGCCCTTTATAAGGTAATTTATTCAAATAATCATATTTTTTTGTAATCGACTAGGAAGTGAAAAAGATCTTTTAAAGCTATAACGAACAACCGCCTTTGGGGAACTCGAAGTCCAAACGTGTAGTTGATCAAGTAGAAAGCATGGTCTTACGGACCTTCGCCTCGTTCTTCTGCGCGTAGTCCATCCAGTTGCGCCTTGACCAGCTCAGAATGTAGCTGATGTTGTAGCTGGAGCTTTGAGGCCGTCCTCTAGGTGGAAGCTTCGGAATGAGAGCGGCCAAGAAGAGGGAAAACTACACGAAATTATCAAAGAAATCCGATTCCATGCTAAATGTTCCAGGGAATGGCGGCTCCGTTGGTCGGAGTTTCCCCTCTTTTCGCCGTTTTCTTCGGAGGATGCGCTGTTGGAAAGTACTTACAGCAGACGGATCCTAGTTAGTTTTCTTTTTTTATCGGAAAAAATGGATTCCTTGAATTTATTTCAAAATATATAACCTCAATTCAAATAAGAGAGCTTCTGTATTCTTGTAATCGAAAATTGGTCTTAGAAATTTTTCAAAAGCGTATTTCGTTTCAAAAAGTTAACAGAGAGTGGGACTCATTTAGAATTTTTAACATTTTTGAATATTTCAACGATATTTTTGAGTTCAATGGTGTTTTTGGTTAGATGAATACACAGTACTGGCCATAAATGTATTTCAAAGTGGTTATTCGAGCATAACTTCTCTGAAGTTTCTGATTCAAAATCGTAGTTTCTTCGAAAATATGATTTTTCGAACCTCAAGAGAAAAATCTTCATTTTCACGATTTTTGGTTTTTGCTCTCAAATCCGGTCTGACTTGAGCAAATGAGTTTTTCTTTCGGGAAAAAGTAACTGCCTAGCAATTTAAAATCTGTGCGAAGTTTCAAGTCATTTGAGCCACTTTCAGAAAAGTTATGCTCGACTAACCTCTTTGCCTTTATGGCCAGTACTGTAAGAGACAGGGAAAGATATAAGTTTGAAGAGTACATTTTTTTTTTTTTTGAATTAGGAATTTCCCTAAAGTTCCAAAAAAAAAATGTCTCAAGCTCTTTTAATGATTAACATCGAAAGCTTTTTTAAAGTTATTTCATGCCGTGGAAGTTCTTCTTTTTTTTTGGCATCTATGTGAACACTCAAAAGCTTTTTTGAATAAATTATATCGAGCTCGAAGTTTCCAAAAAAGGAAGGAGCTTCTTTGAGACACAACTAGGCTGTAAGGTTAATTGTTTGTTGTTGAAATATGAGAAAGAGCCGTCAATTTCATGCTTCCAGACCAAGAGATGACATTCGTGCAGAATGCCATCAGCGGAGGTCTTGCTGGCGTTTTCACGACCGCCGTCATGGTTCCCGGGGAGCGCGTCAAATGTCTTTTGCAGGTTTTTTTTTGAAAGTAATAACAGTTGCGGGCAAAGTACAAGCGACCTTTTGAAAACCTGTAAATAACAGTGCTTTTAGAGATCGATTTATGAGTAGAACACTTCTGTGTACCGCCAGAAAAGATACAAGGGATTCTTGGTCACAACTTCTTTGTAGGGAGCTTAACTTTTCTGAAACTCTCGGAAGCTGAGTTTTTTTTTCTACTAATTTTATCTAAGGGTTACGAATAACAGTTATCACAACTCTAGGAAGTGTCAGAAAGATTGAGCTCCATACAACAAAGTTTTTATTGAAAAAGAAGCGTTTTTTTTTCGTTTTTTTTTCTGACGGAACTTTCTGCTTTTAAAATTTGACCGTTCCACTCGGAACAAACTATAAAAAGAAATTATATTTTTAAGACCTTTAAAACTAAAAAACAACCTATTAAACAAATCACGAGTTTTCAGGTGCAACAAGCGGGTAATGCTTCAACTGGAGTCCAATACAACGGCCCAGTTGACGTCATCAAGAAGCTCTACAAACAGGGCGGTATCGCCTCGATTTACAGAGGAACTGCCGCGACTTTGCTCAGAGGTATCCATCGTAAAAGTAGGAAAGATGGAATTAATGGATTGTTCAGACATTCCGGCCAGTGCCGCCTACTTATCGGTGTACGAGTACCTGAAGAAAAAGTTCTCCGGGGAAGGAGCGCAGAGAACTCTGTCGCCTGGAGCGACGTTGATGGCTGGAGGATTGGCCGGAATCGCCAATTGGTCAGATTTTTGGCTTCTTCTTTAGATAAGAAAGTTTAACCTGAATGCGAAGTTACTCAAAAAGAAGAATGTAATGGAAACTAAATGAGTGTTTTTACTGAAAATTTTGAAGATCTAGCTTCTTTTTTCGCGTTTTTTGAAGGCCGATGCTTACATTTTTTGTGTTTTTCTTTCGAGGCCAAAAAAGATTATTTTTAAAGGTTTTATAGCACTGAAAGGGTTTTTTGGAACTCTCCCTTAAGAAATAAGGCGTTTTTCTCATTTTGGGAGTTCAGGTCAGTTTGCATACCTGCCGACGTGCTCAAATCGCGGTTACAAACGGCTCCAGAAGGCAAATACCCAGATGGAATCCGCGGCGTTTTCAGAGAGATCATCCGAGAAGAAGGACCCAAGGCGCTTTTCAAGGTAATTTTTGTGTCTCTCAGTTTTTTTTTATGGAGATGCAAGAAGTTATAATTTTATTCCACTGTTTCATTTTTTTCTCTTTTTTTATAATTCTGACTTCAAATTCCGTCAATTTTTTTACATCAGCAACGATCTAGAAAAAAACGCCGACATATTTTTTTTTTCGCTATAGAAAAACTTGTAAAAAAATTTGAATCTTAACGTACTAAAGAAAAAAATGGTTGATTTACGTGGAAATTTTCACTGACTTGATGAGGATCCTGTTTTTGGAAAACTCTATGTACATCAAGTTCTTCTTTATAGGCTGAAACGGAATTTATGTGATTTTCAAAGATCCATTTCCTGAACTTAACTATTCATAGCACTTATTGACTAAAAATTTGTGAATTTCCAGGGATTCACGCCCGTGATGTTGCGAGCCTTCCCGGCCAACGCGGCCTGTTTCTTCGGACTTGAACTGACTTTGGCCGCCTTCCGATTCATCGGCGTCGGAGGACAGCCTCCGAAAGTCGAAGACGTCGCCCTCGCCAACGCCGAATAATTTGCCTTGACCTCCTAGCCAAATTTTATCCCGAATTAACTTACGGATGTGATTCTACATGTATAGTTGGGTCTTCAAGTGAAAAATACTATTTTGAAACTATATCAATAAATTTTTATCACGACTTTCTGTTTTTAATTGGTTCCCAGTTGGTTGTTGTGCTCAAGAACAATAAGTGCTTTTCTTATTTGTCACTTCTATGGTGCTTCTGCAAGGTTGGGAAATATCGGGTTCTAACTTTTTGTGGTCTATTGGGAAGTTGGTTTTGTAGATTTCGACGATACTGCGGTCAAATTAAGTTTCACACATGTTCATCCGGATTTGTACGACGATAATCCGCCGAGTCGTTGTCGAACCGCGAATTTCGAAGCAGCAAACCTTCAATTTTCACGCTAGCGCTGTATTTTTGCATCGAGGAGGCGGTGGAGATGGGTTCGTCTTGCCTTTTTGTGGTCTTCTGTCCTGTCTCAGTCGATTTGCACGTTTCCATGGCTTCTAACGCTACTTTTATACATATTTTGAATGCTTAACAAACAAAAAATGTCTGTCCTGATTTTTATCCTTGAATTGGAGGCCAAAAGAGTTGAAAAGCTTTTTTATTATGTGTCCTTCACTAATTGAAGTCCTCGAAACTTGAGAAAAAGGAAGTTCAAGAAGGCGGTTTTATGTCATTTCCGCGCATCACTACATCTTCTTTTGTTTCAATAGAGAATCTTTGCGATTTATGCTCCTCTTCAGAAACTTATACGAAATACGTGAACTCGAATCATGAAAAGATCAAAAGAAAGTGTGACTAAGTTCGCTCCATTGAGAAGGTTACAAAAACGTTTTTTTCTCATCATTTTTTTCTGAAATTTATTCAATTTTTTCTACCCCTATGTTGTGCAGATAGGATTTTCGATACACAGGATTTCTGAATGAGAACCGAAACCTTCACTTTCCGAAAATAATTTTTACCCTCTCAATTGAGAGACTCAAGCCCGATAATTTGGAAGATGATTTCTTAGCATTCATTTCATTTCAAGTCATTTTCTTCGCCGTGTGATGACATTATTTTGACGTGTACTCGTTTATCTTATCGTTTCAAGTGTATGACGTTAGTTCTGCCGCGTCTGTGGTCATTTTTGACATTTTGGAGGCGTTTCATTTCATCCTATAGATTTCTTTATAAGAAGGAATAGGAAAACTTTATGGGCTTTGATATTTTTTTGCTCTTTTTTTCCCTGAATCTTTTTAAAAAAAGTTCAATTTAGTTAATTGAGATGTATGAAAAAAACGATGAGAGGGCTTCAATTTTTCCAAAAATTGAAGTATATCTGCGCACCAATACGAATAATTTGCAAGAGTCCAAGCTTAGATAATTAGGAAATGCTGTGCAAGACGAGTGGTCACTCTGCTAACTGATAAGCCGAAGATCGTCGATTATCTGATTTTTGTTATGTTGCTATGTTGGCCATCCGTTTTTCGCTGAAACAGCATGGTGCTTTTCCCCACGTTGACCACGGTTTCTGGTTGTTTGAGCTTTGTTTTTGTGAAGGAAGCGCTGGGAAAGGAGTTCTCGAATGTTTACTGTGCCCTCGTGATCGGCTATTTAAACTGTACGATGTCCACACTGATAACACTTGTCAGAGTTGCCGGACCTCGCCCCGTTTTTGTCTTTTGCGAGTATTATTTTGTACGATTCATTTCCTTTTCAGAATGGCAGTTTGTGGAGCACCAGCCACCGTTAAATTCGAGCGTTTGCCCACTTTCGCCAAGCCGATCCACTACGATGTTCAGCTGGCTCCCGACCTCCAACAGTTAATTTTTCCTCTCAAAATAACTAATCATTTTCAATTTAAGGTTCAAATTCGATGGAAAAGTCTCTATCGACGTCGAAATTCTGGAAGATACGGACGTTCTGAAGGTTCACGCTCAGACGCTTGCCATCAATGGCGCTTCTGTCAAGATTGAATCTAAAGGTTTCCAAAAAGAGAGGAATTTCTTTATATTTCTGATTCACAGTTTATGACAATCTTTCAACGACTTACGATGAGAAGCTCAACATCCTCACTGTCAAATTACCGGCGATTTTGAAGCCACAAAAAGTACTTTCTTAATTTCTTGTTAAGCAGAAATATTGGAACTTTTTGAGGTCGTTCTGGACTTCAAGTTCGTCGGAGAACTCAACGACAAAATGCGCGGTTTTTACCGCAGTTGCTACAAAGACGCAAGTGGAAACGAGAAGTTCCTGGCTTCTACGCAGTTTGAGGTGATTTTCAAGGAAAAATGTTCAAAAAAGTATTTATGAACTCAAAAAATACAAAAATCGCACGATCAAGAAAGACACTTCGAAATTTTTTTGAGCTTTTGAAAAATTTTTGAGAAATCAAAGTTTTCCAAAAGTTTCTACCAATTTCATGATATGAAAATTTTTGAAAAACGAGTTCAACGTGGCGTTTCAAAAAAGCTGTATGAATGTAAAATTAAGAATTCGAATAATTTCCGTTTTTATTGCCAAAATATTTGCTCCCTTGGTTGATTCATCGAAAAAAACGATAAGGGCAAAGTTTTTGAAAGGTAGTGTACCTTAAATATTAATACAATTGCTTTTTTTTTCAAATTTCTATGGGTCTGAAGATAATTTATGTAAAAATTTATGGTCTAATACTTTCAAAATTTGAAAAATTGGTGAAAGAACTCGTGTTAAAAGGTTTTAAGCCATTTTAAGACGTTCGTTTTTGGAAAATAAATATAAAACCGTGTGGCGGCTTTTAAAAAAGAAAAATGTTTTTCTGGCTTGAAAAGTCTTTCCTTCAGAGTAGTGGAAGCTGTGGGAATAAGAGTTTTTTCCTGAATAAGGAAGGAAGAATATTTCAGTCAACATACGCTCGGTTCGCCTTTCCTTGCTGGGATGAGCCGGTCTACAAGGCGACCTTCGACGTGACCCTTGAAGTGGCGCCTGGTCTCACCGCCCTCTCCAACATGGTCTTTCCGAGCTCCTTTTCTGAGAAATTCAACTATTTTTCTTCTTCAGAATGTCGTTTCAACGACACCTTCTTCTAGCGGAAAGACAGAGATCGTCAAAGTTCGCCACGAGCCCCAAAATGAGCTCTTATCTTGTCGCTTTTGCCGTTGGAGAGCTCGAGTACATCAGTGTGAGGCGGAAATGTCAAAAAAAGAAGTTTTAAACGGGATTTTTCAGACCAAGACGAAAAGCGGCACGGAGATGCGCGTTTACACAGTTCCCGGGAAAGAAGGAACAAGGCCGCTTCAGTTTGGATCTTTCGGCCAAGTAAAGAAAACACTTTCAGAGGAACTCATAGGAAATTATGTGGTTTCAGGGCCATCGACTGGTACAACGAATGGTTCGACATCCCATACCCATTGCCCAAATGCGACCTCATAGCCATTCCCGACTTTCAGCATGGGTACGAATCGAAGTTGTTTCGAAAAATCGCTTCACTGTTTTGTCTGAAGTGTAAATTTATATTTTTGGAGAACAAGCAGTTTATAGTAAAAAGAATTTCATTTTTTTCATTTTTTTCGAAAGGTACAATTTTGAGATTATTTCCGTGTTTCTAAAGTGATTTCGCGAAATTCAAAAATAGCCGTCAAATAGTGAAAAGATAACTAAATTTAGGAGAATCAGAGATAGTTTTGAATTTAGTCGAAATTAAATTTTGTTGGCATTGTGCCTCCATTTTTTTTTTCTTTCGATAAGAAAGTAACTGATTACGAACTACAGTCTATTCAGTTTTTTTCGGATGCTTTGAAAAAGGTGGCAAAACGCCAATGGAACCTTTTTTTGTTCTTTTGGCTTCGAAAAACATTTATTTTTTTAGTTTTTTTAAGCGGAATAAAATTATATTTGATTTTGATAATATAAAAAAAGTAGAAAAAAAGGTAAAATTTTTGTGAAAAATTAGATAATCTCTGAATTTTCGAGCTTGATTAGTCAGCCCTGAATGCAAAAAACGCTGTTTCTTATGATTTTCAATTCAAAACCTGATTCAAATAAGACTCAACTTAAAAAAATGAAGTTAAAATGTTTTTCCAGTTAAAAAAACATGTACCTTAAATTTTTTTATTGGATAAATTTTTTTAAAATTTGATACAGTTAAAAATTGGCTCGATGTATTTTTAATAAGAAGGAGTAGATTTTTTTTTTCAGGAGCCATGGAGAACTGGGGACTCGTGACCTACAGAGAAGTCGCCCTTCTCGTCGACCCCGCGGTGACGTCAACGAGGCAAAAGTCGCGCGTCGCCCTGGTCGTGGCTCACGAATTGGCCCATCTTTGGTTCGGAAACCTCGTCACGATGGTTGGAAATGCGAGAAATCAAAGGGGAAAATGAAGTTGCAGCGTTGGTGGACGGATTTGTGGCTGAAGGAGGGTTTCGCCTCCTTCATGGAGTACATGTTTCGTCGGCGCAAACTGTCCCGAGTTCAAGATTTGGCTCCATTTCGTGCACGACGAACTCGCGTCCGGAATGGAACTCGACGCTCTCCGCAACTCTCATCCTATTGAGGTTGCTCCCGAAGAATACTTGCTGAAAAAAAATTTCCAGTTTTGGAATAGCCATTTCGATATTAAGATTTTCGCTTCCATGGGTCGCTTTATCAAAAAATCACCAGAAAACAAAAAAATCAATGAATTCTGATTTTTGTAGATGAAAATGGTTGAAAGATTCCGGTAGTAAATGGAAGATTTATTTTTAAAAAAATGCTTATTTTTTTTGATATATTGTTAGTAAGGTTGCTCTCAAAAAATTGTTTGTTCAAAAAAGAGAAAAAAATGTTCTCTTTCTTCTGAGTTGTTTTCTGTCTTAATCTGAGGGAAGGATCCATTTTCAACATTTTTTTCCTGTTCAAAAATGATAAGTAGATAAAACAATTTTTTTTTAATCAATGAAAAAAATTATCATCACTGTTAGTCAAATATATTACATGACTCTTGCATAGCTTTCAATTTTTTCGTATCTGTATCATCCAGTTTGAGCTTCAAAATGATTTTTACCATCTGAAAAATCGAAATCAGGTTGAAATCGACAACCCGAACGAGTTGGACGAGATCTACGACTCGATCACCTACGCCAAATCCAACTCTGTCAACCGAATGCTCTGCTATTACCTCAGTGAACCAGTTTTCCAGGTGAAAATTGGTTTTGATAAATCTTTATAAATTTACTTTCAGAAAGGCCTGCGATTGTACCTGAAGAAGTTTTCGTATTCCAACGCGGTCACACAAGACCTGTGGTCGGCCCTCAGTGACGCTTCTGGACAGGTTCAATGACAAAAAAGGATCTTCAACTCAGTTTGATGTTTCTAAAGAACGTCAACGAGTTGATGTCGGGCTGGACCAAGCAGATGGGCTTCCCCGTGGTGAAAGTTTCCCAGAAAAAGGAGGGCGACAAGCGAATCCTGACTCTGGAACAGAGAAGATTCATCAGCGACGGCGGAGACGACTCGGCCAACTCCTTGTGGCAGGTGGTTTCCGGAGAAAAAATCGAGATAATCATGGAAATTTATGAATTTTTGACTTCCTGAGAAGTTTTGTTATCGCTAACGAGAAAAAGAAATCAATGCTGGGTCTTGAAATTATATACAAACTGGGAGATAATTTAGTGGGATTTGTGGAATTTTGTTCAAATTTGCTCGAAGGTTCATTGATTAACTGGAAAATTTTTAATTATAGGTCTTGAAACTTTACAGAAACAGGGAGGTGCTTTTTGAAAGTATCTACAATTCGCTCAAAAAACCAAAAATTGTTTGGCCAAAGAAAACCCAAAAAACAGCAGAAACTGAGCCTTCTGCATTCAATTTTTGTGAAAATGTTTCACTATCAACTCAATTTTTCTAGGTTCCCATCACTGTTTCTGTTCAAAGTGCGCCGGAAGACGTCAAGGCTCGTTTCGTTCTGAAAGAAAGGAAACAGGATTTCGTTGTGGAAGGCGTGGCTGATGCCGACTGGGTCAAGGTAAGAGATCTAATTTTTTTTATTTGAGGTTTCCTGGAATTTCTTTAGAACTCTTGCCCGCCTAAAAACGGCCAGAATCAGTAGAAATGAAATTTTTAATTTCACTATATGAAATCCCTATTGGTGCCACTTTTGCAGGCCCCTGTAGGTTAATTGGATCCTAGGGGCCCCTATAGGGATCACTCTGGAGTTCCTAAGTTACTTCACTGATAAATTTTCAGTTGAACGTTGGAACGACCGGCTTCTTACCGAGTTGAATACGCTGAAGACATGCTCAGTGCCATGCTCCCGGACATTGCCAGCAAAAGAATGCCGGTCCTCGACCGATTCGGTCTCATCAACGACTTGTTCGCCTTGGTAACACTTTTTATGAAGTTGTGGAAAATTAAAGTTACGAAAAATGCGCTCAGATTTCCCATATCGTGAATTATTAAGCTCAACTTTTCCCTTTTGCCAGATTTTCCTGATTTCCTGAAGACTACTAATAGGCTTTGTATGACCAGAGAATGGTTCTCCGTCAGAGAAAATTTACGGATTTCTTAGGTTTTTTTTTTCAAGTTTATTTTTTAGATACGTTTTCAAAAATCCTTACAAGGCTGTTGAAGGTGCAGAAGTCTTGTATCAACTGGAATTGTACTAAAGTTAACGTTTCATCATGAAATATTTATGGGAATGTTCAGAAATTTGGTTCAAGTCTTCAAGGCAAAATTTCGAATTTCATTTTTGTTCTGTTAAAGACCAGATGATTTTTATGAGCTCAAAGAACATTCAAAATGAGAAAAAATAGGTTTTTTGGAGTGTCTTTTCGATAAAGTATGATCCAAGAACGAAAAACAAGGAATTGAATAATGTGAATTGAAGGTGAACGCCGGCCGTGTTTCCATTTCCCAATTCGTGAGCGTGGCGGCGGCTTCTCTGCACGAAGACGAGTACGTCGTTTGGGGCGCCATTGACGAAGGACTTTCCCGTTTTTCGAACGTCGCTCTCCATATCAACGATGAAACTAAGCAACGGTTCTTTTGAACCCGAATCCTCAGAAATATTCCTTCTTTTCCAGTGTCAACAAGCTCTACGTCAAACTGTTCGCCGAGGCTGGAGCCAAGCTCGGATTCGTCGAGGAGGCGGGCGAGGGTAAGGATTTCCTAGACAAACAGTGATCTGCAGCTTCAAGATTCTCAGAAAATTCAAATTTTCTCTCAAAATTTTCATATATTATTTTGTTAAAAAATAAATGGGCTGAAGAGATTGATTTGTAGCTTTCAACAAAGTTGGCTACCCATTTTAAACGATAACTTCAATTTTAAATCAAATGAGAACTATCCAAGGTTTTTCTATAGATTCGCAAAAGATGATGCTCCGCTCGTTGGTCCAAAGCCGTTTGGCGAAATCTGGACATCAGCCAACAATCGAACAAGTTCACGGAGATGTTCAACGACCACGTCGAGAAACAGACGCCCCTCCATCCCGATATCCGACTTGCTGTTCGTGTTCATCTTCACTCTCAAGATCAACGAGTTCCGAGGTTAAGGTGTTCGGAAACGCCGCTCGCAACGGCGGCAAGGAGGCCTTCGACCGTCTGCTGAAGATCCGCGAGACGACAACCTTCGGAGAAATCGACCGCCAGTGCATCGTCGCCATGTCGCAGACGCCCGACGAGGCCTTGCTCACCCAGCTTTTCGATTACGGTATCGGACAGGTGAGAAGGGGTTACCTGATGAATGGGGTATGCCGAGGTTGCATTAGGCGAAAAGGCCTTGCATAATCCCTTCCTTTTGAAGAGAATAATTTGTATTGAGTGAAAGAAAATAACGTAGGTTCTGAGTAAGTTGTTATTTACAAGCCGTAAATTACTTCACTAACCTTTCAAGCCTTGAAAAGGAAATTCTTATAAAAATCGGCCATTTTTGGAGTCACTGAACTTCAGTGACTGACCAAGAAAGCCAAGAAACCTAACAAAGTGAGAAAATTCGTTTTTTTTTTTAAATTTTAAACCTTTTTTTGCAACCTTCCGAAGCAATTTAAAAATTTAGCGCCTTTCGCTTTTTCCTGTGTATTTTTTCACTTCTTCAAGTTTTTTTTTCCGCGTAAAGCTGAAGCTCAGAACGCACAATAAAAATAAAAAACTTAGAAACCAACCATCTCATTAGCAAAAAAAAGTTTATAATGTTTTTCAAACTGTTTTGAAACTCATTTCTCCTTCTTTTGACTTGAATACCCGAAGAAAAGCTTTTTCTCATTTAAAAATGAAAAATTAGCAGAACACGTCATTTCCAATTTTGTTTGAAATGAAACCTTTGAACTTGTTAATTTTTAGAACAAAGTGCGGCCACAGGATCAGCTCTACCTGTTCTTGGGCACCGGCGCGACGAGAATGGCTCAAGATTTCGCTTGGAAGTACTTCAAGCAGAATATCAAGAGCTTCATGTCCAAGTACGGCGGAGCCAACTCGAGCCTTTTCCAGCGTTGTTTGAAGTTCTCCGGCGAGAACTTCTCCACTGAAGCTCAGGCCAAGGAATTCCAGGTAACTTATTTTCAGGGGGTTTTCCGCAGAAAAATTAAGTTAGTTTTTCTATTTAGGGAGCTCTTTTTTTCTGTTTCATAGCTAAAAATATTTGAAAAAAAAACGGTCAAAAACTGCATTTTCTCTTTTTCTGTGTTCGCTACTTATCTTTATACTGTTCGCTATGAAAAAAACCTTGTTATTATTATTTAACAGTTGTTTGAAGATAATTTTGATATCTTAAAATCATGAAATAATGATAATGATAAAAAGGTTGAGAAATAAAAGAAAAAGCTAAGTTACTTACCGGTTTCAAAAGTTTTTTTTTAAATTATGAATGAAGATAGAGTTATTTATTTATATATCGACATCTTTATTAAAAAAAAGAAGCATATTCAAACGTTTTTTTGCGGATCTAACCTAGTTATCTACGTACTTCCTTTTCATACAAATTGAATATCAAGCTTTTCAGGACTACTTCTGTTCGTGCGAAGAACTCACCGATGTGGACAGACAGACCCTCACTCGCCCCATTGGACAGGTATCTTTGAGATTCTCCAGGAATAATGACGAAAAAATCTCAGGGAAATTAACAGTTTTCAGTGAAGTTTGTCTAGTTAGTCTACTTAATGCGCAACGAGCGTTGAGAATAGATTTTAAAGTTTAACAAAAACAGGTAAATTAATTAGCTTACTCTTTTAAAAAAATAGACGATTAGTACTATTTATTTTTTTTGTTTTGTCAAGTTTTGAATATACATATATTATTTTTGAATTCTGTACATTTTCAGTCTTTTTAATTATGTTCTAAATTATTAGGATAAAAGTCGAAATTCCAACCTTGAAAAAAATATCAGGACAGTTCATTATTTTTTTTTGTTGTTGAGCAGGTTAAAAATTTATATGGATTTATGTCATCGATTTAACAAACATTTTTAACGTTTCATCGTAAGTTACTTTATGAGTTATAATTTTCTAGACTGTCGAATCGATCCGATTGGGCGCCCGACTGCTTGAAGCGAACCGCGAAGCCATCGAAAACCTCCTCAAACAACATAATCTTTAATCTGAAACTTATCAATTTTCTAGTCTTTTAATCTATTTCTTCTACGGTTCTATTGGGCTTCTAAGAAGTGTTATTGCATATTCGGTCCTTTTTCCTTTTCTTTTTTTTTCGTCATGACTTTGATTGTTATGTGTTAATTTATTGGGGTTTCCCTCGTTTTTTATTTATTTTCGGTTGACATAAATATTGCTTGATCTTTAATTCAGTTTTATTCATTTTTCGCGTGTTGAAGTTACTTGGAAATATTTTTAAAAAACGTAAGATGACTTTTTAAATTTAATATTTGAGATATTTATTTATAACGCATGTCGCAAACGTTGCACTCTTCGACACGATGTGAGTGGTTTTGAAATTTGCAAAAAAATTTTGAAAAAAAGGCTTTTTCCGCTGTAGGTTTACCCGGCATCACTGTAAAAAAACAATTTAAAATAAAAAAATTTTCGATAGGAAAAATCTCCTCGAATAGTTTTAAGACAATATTTTAATCACGATTGATGAAGAAATTTCGCTCCATCGCACAACTTTTTTTCGAAGCCTTTTTTTGCCTTTTTCAGACCTCGGTTAGGCAAACCGGACTTCTCTGAGAAGTTCTAGTGATCGTTTGAGAGTTCTGACGTCACTTAAAGGATTCATAGAAATTCTCAGGAAAAAAAGATTACCTAGCCAAATTTGCCTCCCTTTCCGAGAGCAAAAAAATTCCAAAAATATCTTAATTCTTTCTTTAATTTCGAGAAGAAAAGTCATTCTTGCAGTGTCCAGTACAGCTGCAACCGACTCTAATAATATTGGAAATTTCCTCTCGCCCTCCCAAACTCAAACAAGGGCCAATGTGAAAAAGTACCCCAAGAGAAAAGTTCGAGGTTCGACTCGGAAAAGGAAAAAATTCAGTTAGAAGTTATTTAGCGACTATCTCTACTGGTAGTGACACCACACGCGCAAAGAAATCTTCTTTCCGGCAAAGTTTCGATTATTCTCAACAATTCACGTCGAGGCTCAGTGAGTTTATTAGTATTTATGTTTTTAAGAGACAAATTTTGAAAAAACCTGCTAGAATTCTAATTTTGAGAGGTTCGATATAACCAATTGCGCTTTTTATTTTGCTCCGAGCTACAGAATCCTTCCATTAAATTTCCCTCTGATGCGCGTGGCCCTCCTGTGTGTATGCGCCTTTAATTAAACAGAAATTTGAGGCCGTTTTAAAGGCGCATTGAATCGAAGCTTTATGAAAGAGCTCCGTAGCTCAAAGGAAAAATTCCGGAAAAAGGATAACTACTCGATCTTAGGCCTCCCACCGGATCAGGTCAATAAGTCCGACAGTTACCAACATGAGAAACATTTCCAACGGGTTGTTATGGGCAGCATGACTTTGGAGTTGAGTCGTTGGCTCGACGACCTTCAGAAACGGTTTCTCGCTCTAAAATTCTATCATTCTTAAGTTTTTCTAGTGTTTCGGAGGGAACCTGTAATAATGAGGATGAAGAAGCGGAAAGGCAGCCGAACAGTGTGAGTCATTCCAAATCATACAAACGAAGAGAAGGTTAAAAAATAAACGTCAATAACTCACTGTATCAAAAGAATGCTTGAAATTTTCGGGAATAGGAAAATTCAAAAAGTTTTGAAGCAAGTTGAACATCCCTTCCCGATTTCACTGCGACCGCGACCCCCTGAGCCATTCCAAATGCGGCCAATGAATTTCAGATTGATGTGAATGAGTTATAGCTAAAAACGACCAGCTCGGGACTTAGATAAAGCTGTAAAGGCATCTGAGTCTATAAAATTCACACAATATTTTCATTATCATTTACAAATCTTTTCGAAATAAACTTACCAGAAAAATGAATTTATTATGCGGTTGGAAAAATTTTTCGAAAGTTGTTCAGCTTACTCTTTGATAGATCAGAGAAAGCTCTCTGAAGAAATTTACTGCCCAATTTTTTTTTATTTTTTTTAAGAAAGAAATGCCGAACTCAGAAAAATTACCCAAATTCAGTTAAAGTAGACGATTCTCAGACTTTGAGTCGAAAATTAGGTATTCGTGAAGGTAAAGGCTCCAAAGAGCTGCATCGGGTATATCAAGAAAATTCTCGGCTCAATTTCTTTTTTCTTCCTTATAGTCGCACAAATTTCTGATTTCGAAGTTATATATATATATTTTTTTGAAGTTTGCGTTCAACACTAAGTCAGGCCTGAAACCAGTAAATTGTAACTTTGAAAAATCATATTTCCAAAACTGAAGTATTCAGCACGTAGTGGCTATGATGAATCTTACTGGGAAAATTTCTAGTGGCCACTATAGAAGCTCGCCAAGGACTACTTGAAGAGGACACTAAAGTGGCCACTAAACCCACCTCTACAGTGGCCACTATTTTGCGTTTTAGTGGCCACTTCAGTAGTTATTCATCCAATATTCCTTCCAGTAACTCTGATAATTAAAAAAAAGATTGGACCAGTTATGTTGATCCATTGCCCCTAAAGTGACCACTAAAACGTAAAAACCCTATAGCGGCCACTAAAAATTTTCTCAGTAACTTAGACCTCAAATATTTCCACGAAATTCTAAACGGCAAAGTCAAGTTACCTCCCCTTAATTTTCCCAAACCTGCCCTGAAAAGATAATGGAGTAATTATTACATTTATATTAGTTTTATTCACCAAATTAAAAAAAGATCAAAATCAAGATAATCCACCTATCTTAAAACTGAAGAACGATTCTTGTATAGAACGAAGCGGAAGCTGACTTGGATGAATGTACGACGGCTTTCGAATTGAATAGCAAACTTGAAATGGATAAAAGTTTGAAAAGAAGAAGTTCTACTCTGAACGACCCTCTTCTCATTTCTTCATCCAGTTCCGAGGTATTTTGAGCTTTCGAATAAGAATAATTAATTTTTTCTTGAACTAAAACAATAATTGTATAAGAAGGTACAAGAGTAGACAAATTTAACATTTTTTTTTGATGATTGGAGACATTTAAAAATCAACTCTAAGGCTTTTCACTATCTGAACAGTACCTAATTGAGAGAATCGAAGCTTTGGAAGTACCACGAGGAAATGAACAAACAAATGAAGTCGCGGAGGATTTTTCCAATTTAAAGGAGGCCGTAGCTTTACGGGAACGAGCTGGTTTAGGAAATGAATCTTGAAAATAAATTCGGACGTTTTTTAGTTGCTCATGGATTAGAAAAAACGGGCCCCGATTGTGCCGACGAGCTGCCTGGCGCCGCCAAGGAAAAGGTAGATTTTTCCAAAATCCTGAGCTTCTAAAATTTGAACTATTCTTGACCTACCCAATTTTTCTCGAAACCATCGGGAACTTTATAGCTAGACTACATGTTCGCGTGTTGGTCAGCCACCGAACTTGTCACGGAGTTTGTGCGAATGACCAAAGGTTGTCCCAAGACGGTCTCCGTTGTCGACGACAGCCAGGCTTTGCGCGAAGCCAAGCTCCGGACAGATATCAGACTTGCCAAGTTTCTGAACTCTTCGAAAATATTGGTTACATTTTTCTTCAGCGCTTATGGAATCGACTGGCAGACTTTCGATGCCGGCCGGATGCAATACGTCAATTGGTCGTTGTTCTGCGAGATTTGCAATGAAGAACTTCCGCCCAAGTATCGCATCAGTACTTGCTCCAAGTGTCATCGTGAGTTCCGGGAGTTCTAAGAAATGAATAATTCGAAACTTGGACAAAAAGAAATTAACAAAAAAACTATTAACAAAAAGATCTCTTTGTAAAATATTCATATAAAAGTTTGAATCTTTCTAGGAAACTCAAAAAAATTTGACACTTCATATTCCATGAATAAAGATAACTACTATAAAATATTTTTTTAATAAAGCGATAATTTTTTTGAATTGGCGCCAAAACGCGTCGCGACCGCTTTTTACACAAACTGCAAATGCCGCACGTCGCTGTTTCATGCCGGGAAAGATCAAAGCTGCCGACCGGCCGACCTGACCCGTAAAGTTTAAAATTAGTGTAAATGTAGAGAATGGCTGGAGAACAAAAAGTTCAAAAGATTGAGAAAACACGCCTTTTTGACAATGTGACCGCTTCCCGGGCCGGGTCATCCTAGGGCGCTTTGCGGTCGCCCCAGGGCGGCCCGTCTTTTCAGCAGCTCTGAAAGTAAATTATACAGCCTAGACTCTCATGGTGGCCGGGTATCTCAACGGGTGAACCCTTATGAAACCCTTTTTTGAGACTTCTTGTGTCAGTTGTGTTAAAGCGAGGAAAAGTTGAGGATCAGAAGAAATAAGTGACCCAGCTGTGTTTATTTCAAAAATCTGAGACTCTTTTGTGCGGAAATGGTGCCTCAGTGGTGCCAAAAGTTCTACCGGTGTTTATAGGGGTCTGATTCGGGCCTACCCGTTGAGACCCGTGCTAGCACGGCTGTCTTTTATTAGCATGAGAGGAGAAACTTCATTTTTTTTCAAGAACCGCCTCTCCAAGATCAGCGACTGGTCAACTGTTTGAGAGTCGTTGTCCCGTTGCGTTGGAAGATTGATTCCACCGATTACCGGGTTTATATCTCCGTTAGGCTGGAATCTGTGGTCAGTTGGAACTTTCAGAAAATCTAATTTTTCGAAACTCTCAGAAAGACTTTGAACTCGAGGAATGCTTCATGGAGATCAACCTGGAAAGAGCCAGATGCTGGTCGGAACAGAAGAAAAAGGAGAAGAAAGATGGAAAAGAAGAGGGGAATGAAAAGAGAGATCAGAAGCTGGAGAAATGGTTCGAAGAAGTGCGGGCTTTCGTCAAGGTACTGAGTTCTGTCCAAAATCTGAAACTCTGAAAAAAAAACATTGATCGATAGAAACAAAACAATATTTTTATTTATTATTTTCTCTCTAAATACTTTGTAATAGTGTTCATTCCTTGCGTAGTGTCATTAGAACTGATTTTTATATTTATAACCGTTTGGAAACGTAGTCTTATCAGGACCTTCATTCAATTGCCTGGAAGAAAATTGGTTTTTTCTGGAATAATGCACCCTGAAAAATTGATCTTGATTTTCCAGAAATCTTTCATGGACAAGTCAGTTCTTCTCACCAATGGTTATGTGATACGAGCCAAATCGACCCGTAATCAAAAACAATTTTTTGTTTTCGCTCGAAATTATAACCTTGTATGATAATTCAGAGACTTTTTGTACATTTTCAATTGCACACCTCTGTTTATAAATCTGTATCATTTACTGTTATGTTAATCTGTAATATAGTGGTTTTTTTCTTTACCTTCTTTTCGTTTCGTTTTGTTCTAATTTTTTCCTATCTTAGGAATGCCAGAGCGATCCCTATAGGGCAATATTAAGGGCTCTCGAAGGTTTCCCTCTAGGGATCACTTTACCTCCCCCTATAGGGAACACTAGGGGGCTTAGAGGTCACATCCTTAACACCTTTAGGGATCTTCTAATTTTTGTGGTTTCTTTTATTTTTCTTATTTTACTTGTCTTTTTCCGCATTTTTATCTAAGTATGATAGCGTCGCTTTTTAATTGATAACATGGATCTTACTGTATAACGGGATGTTTCTTTTTTTATGACATTTTCGTTCCGTTTTTGTTATAAACATTCGGAAGTTTTCGTGATAATAGTTCCATATCGATAGTGTTTTTCCCTCCGGAAGTATCTGTCTTTATGAATCACGAGACCGGTTTTTTCGGTCTTCATGCGTTTATAAGCACCTCCGTTGGTCCACGAGGCACCTTTGTTTTCGATTTCACAAAAGTAAACTATAGACTTTTTGGGAATAGATTCTTTTTTCGGAGATCAGTTGTCGAAATATGAGATTTATATGTTTTTTGGAACAGTTTTTACTCAAAAAATTATTTTTTAGAAAAGAGACTGTAATTTTTTCTGACTCTGGTCTTTTTTCTTATATTTTTTTTTGATTTTCAATTCAGCTGTAATACTAATATATGTAAATCACGCTTTTTTATCATTTCGAAACAAAGAATCAGCTCATCAATTTTTCTGCGAAAAATGCTCGCTTTTGATTTGTTCTTCTTATTTTTTTCTAAGTTATATTTCGTCAGACTTTTTTTACCAGTATCTGAAAAAGTATTCAAAAATTCAAATTAACCCTATCGATCTATTTTTTTAAATCTCCAAGCATGAGTCATAATTTCTTTTTTTAAAAAAATAAGTTTAAAGGATTTTCCCGCCGAGTTATTTTATTTCCCACGACAATATTGTTGCGAAATTTTCTGGAAACTTTTTATTTTTAGCTTTTTTTTTCCTCGTTTTATCTTCGTGTCGAAATCTTACTCATCTATGACGTCATTCCGTGGGATATTTAGAGCTCAAAAAAAAGAGGGAGAGGCGCGTTTTCCCCTTGTCCGAGGCTTGAAAAATAGGTTCAAACAAATTCTTCCGCACTTCTTCCTTGCTTCTATCAGCGCTTCATTTAACACTGACTCGAAAAAAAACTCCATAGACGTTTTTGAGAATCTTCTTTTCGTACGATGTTTTGCTGATCGTGTAAAGACTCGAAAATATTTATCCAAGCTAAATTTGAACAAACTACAACTTCGTCAGCAAAACTTCCAAATAAATTCACGGATTTCTATTCCAAACTCTCATAATCACTGATTATTTGTCTTCTGACTGCTTGCTAATTTTTTGAATGGTTCATTTCATTCATATAAAAGGGATAAGGAATTTGATTGAACTATAGTTTTGAAAAAAGAGAATATTCTGAAGTTTTTCGGCTCAGACTTGTCTTTAGATGGTCTTCGAACGCTGAAGCTTTTCATCCCTTGAGAGGTCAGACCATCGTTGTCTCTCTGTCTCTTCTTATCTCTCATCTTCTCCTTGTTTCTCTGCGATTTCGCCCCTCTTTTCGCGTATTTCTGCACCCCGAGCTATGTCCTATCTTCTCTGTTGTTGTTTACTGGCCATACCTCAAATTGTCTCATGCATTTTCTCCCTTTCCTTTGCCTTTTTTTTTTCTCATTTTGACGTTTCAGGCTTTTTTCAGTTTCTTAGTTATGATGGCTCGTTGTTTCAGTGCTTTTTTTACAGCTTGATCAGAAAAAAATTTATATAAAAACGAATGAATTATTGCAGTCAGTAATGAAATTTTTTTGCCCTAAGAACAGAAACAATTATGGAAATTTCATTCTACAGTTCGTTTTTTTAAAGTATTTAGAAAAAACCCTTTTAAAAAAATTAAAATCAAGCGTTATTGTGCGCTCTATCGAGGTTATGTGCAAAAAAATATTTTTATTTTTTTAAATTAAAATTTTGAATGAGTCCATCTTTTTTTAGTTCGTTTATTCTTATCAGGTATATATTTTCCATTTTCCCAACCGTTCTGAATTACAAAAAAAGGTTTGAAGTCCTGCATTGATTCGCATCTTCTATTCTGGATTCAGTCATGATTTTCATTTTTTTTTTTTGACATGATTTTCGTTTTTCTATGCTGATGAGGCAAGTTTTTCCATTTTTAGGTAACTCGAAATTCAAAATGCTCTCCCAAACACCAATGAACATTGGTCGTATTGAGAAAGAAAACAAAAAAGCGACTAGCCGGAAAAAAGTCTCTTTTTGCCAATTTCGCCGCTCGCTTCATTAGCGTCCTGGCGGGAAATGCGAGGCTTTTACGTTGAATGAAATTTCCGTTTCTTTTTCATTTTTAAAAGGCTAAAAATCAGTATTCTTGCCCACCTTGCCAAGTATCTGAAGAATTTCAAGTTTGTTTTGCCCATATTTGCTTGCATTTTCGTTTTGGCTCGTTTTCCTCTGCGAGAAATCATCGTTCTTTTCTTGCCCGCGAGGCATCTTCCCACATGTTTCTTGTTTTCTTTCTCTTCCCTTCTCTCTTTTCGATTTTCCTCTTGTTTTATGTCCTGTCTTTCGTTTCATTCGATTCAAATTTATTGGAATCCAAAGATTCAATTTTTTTTTCAATCATTTTCTGTTCAGACTTGTTTTTTTTTAACTTTTTGTGAGGTTTTTTTTTCAAATTTTAATTGAAGAATTTACATGTTTTTCAAAAAGCTTATGACATGTTGAAAGTATTTCGCGAAGTCCGAAATAGCCGACAGAGAATGGAAAAGATTAGAAAATTTAATAAAGTCAGAGATAGTTTTCCATTCCGCGGAGTTACTTCGAAGTTTTTCAATTTCCCATGAAATTTTTTTCTATTTTGAACAAAGAAAAGCTGCTTCTTTCAAAACTCTTACCGTTTTCCGCGAATTTACAGTTTCACACTCAATTTTTGCAATTTCTTCAATTATTTTTGGCGTTAAGTATGCTTTTTTTTTCCACTTCCGCTTCATTATCAACCCTCTGTAATATTTATCGAACGTCGATACTTACTCGGGAACTCTTATCAATCGCTTTATATTGATGTTGATTTTTCGATGATTCAATAGTCCATGTCTGCATGCAGAAGACAACCGAGTACAAAATTCGTGACGTATATTGACGATATTTTATGAAATTTGTAAGCAATCTTCTGTAGTATATAAGTTGGAAGGTTCACAATTTTTCCTTTGATTTTTTTATCATCTCTTCAGTTGTTTTTATTCTGATTGGTATTTAAAAAAACAATTCGTGATTCTTATCCTTTCAAAAACATGACTAACAGTTGCGAAATGTTTATAAATAAATTTTAGCTTCTAAAATTAATTGTCGTTAGGCGTAGCCATGGAGTTTCACGTTGAAATGTCGCGCGAGGACGTCATTTTACTCGTATAAAAGTTGTCCGCTCTACATTCGCTTTTAAATTATTTCTGCTGTTTTTTGTTCACCTTCTTTCTTTGTACTTAAAGGAATTGTCTTTTTTAAGTGAAATCCATCCGTTGATGAGCTTTTCTGTGGCGCCGCCCTCTGCCAATGTCCCCAGCACTAATCAACCGTCTTCTTTTGTACTTCTGACCATCAAAGCCAAGTGAGTCTTCCTTTAAATCCGAAACACTAATAGTGATAGGAAAAATCCTTAATAGTGAAAAAAAAAACCTGAACAGTGAAAAAAAAAGTGAAATTAAACTTGTTCAAAATGGAAGTTTCAATGGAAATGAACAAAAAACGAAAAAAAGTCGTTGAAAAAGTGATTGAAGTTTTTGAAAAAAAAGTTTCCCGCCTTGTCCGTGGAGCGCAAGTGTGGCTTATTTTTGATTTTTTGTTTTAATGAATTTTACAAAGTTTTCTGTTTTTGATATTCCAATGTGTGCACTGAGAAGCTTTATCAGTATAAGATAAAAAAGGAATTTTCTGCATTCCAACAAATGGAAGCGTTTTTCGTTGTTATTTCAAAGAATTTTTCATTTTAGAGAGTTTTTGTTCTCCGCTGTTGAACATGTTGTTTTTAAAATTAGCTATATATAAATTCGGAATATTTTAAAGTATTCGGAGTGACTTTTACATTGAGAAAATAGTGAATGTCACAAAGTCTTTGAAACTTTGAAAAATAGCCACACATTTTGGCAGAAAAAAAATTTTTTCGAAGACAATTTGGGCTTAAGTTGAACAGGATTCCATTCTCTAGGCATAGTTTTAATTTTTTAATTTTCAGCAAACTGAAAGATCGGGATGTCTTCTCGAAAAGTGACCCGATTTGCGTCGTCCACGAGCTCATGGGCCGTACAACCAGTAAGAAATTTTATCATATTTCATTAGTGATTTTTCTTGGTTTGCTTTTTTTGCTTGCAACTTTTCACACTCTATTCCTTCTAACATGATTTTTGTGTTTCACGCATGTCTTCTTCTCATTTTGTTGTTGTTGTGACACTAATTCTCTAACTATTTCTGTTCTTCACGGGTTCTTTATATTCATAAGGCACACTTACAGGAAGAATCTCGAGTTCTGCGACCCCATCTCGAAAAGCGAGTAAAAAACGACCAGGTGATTTTGAAGTGGAAGTAGATTCATTTTTGTGCTTTTTGCCTTTTTCGTGTCGTACTTTTCCCATTTTTGTGAGTCTCGGATGTTTTATTTTGTGGTTTTCTGTCCTGTCCGGTGTTTCGGGTTTCTCTGTATACTTTTTTCTAGAAATGGGTGATTTATTCTTGAATGTAACCAAATAATGGTCTTCCCACTTGTTTTTCAAGATTAACAAAAAAAGAACCAATTTTTTTGCGGTTCCTGTAGTTTTTGAGGAAAAAAATCTGTTTACTACAAAAAAATTTATTTTTTTGAGGAGAAAAATAGCCGTTAAGACCCAATACAAGGTTATAAAAAAATTCATAAACACTGAGCTAGTTATAGTCTTGCAAAAAGAAAATTAGACTTTTTTAGAAATCTAACGCAAAACTCAAAAAAGTGACTGAATGTTTGTCGGGGTCTGTCCTATAACATCACTTCTCTTATTAATTTTTCGCCATTCATTTTTTTGGGTTATTTTTCTTCACCCTCCTTCATTTGCATGCTCTACCTCTGTTTCTATGTTCAATCAATATTCATTTTCCAGCGAACGAACAATGGATCGAGCGCGGTCGCACGGAGATGATCAAAAATTGTCTGAACCCCGAGTTCGCCCAGAAAATCCGCCTCGCCTACTTTTTCGAAGAACGACAGTTTCTTCGTATCGAATTGTTCGTTTTTTTTTCGAAATAAATGGAATAATATTTGATGAATTTCAGATACGATGTGGACAACAGCTCTCAGAAGCTGGAACAGCAAGATTTTTTGGGCTGCGCGGAGATCGAACTCGCCGAGATTGTCAGCAGTGGCGGGTTGACTAGGAAGTTGACGTGAGTTAGAAAAAAAAGGATTTTTATTCTCTTAAAGTGATTAGAAATTGTTTGAAATGATTAAAAATCAAAGAGGTAAAATTATTGTCGATCTTATTAGTAGAGAAAATAAATTTATAGTTTAAACATGGACAATGTTCGAACGGCCTCAAAAAGAAAGATTCTTGAGCTATTTTTTGAGTTCGAAAAAAGGTGTCAAAATTTTTCTGAATTTTTTTCTCTCCTTGAAAGGGCATTTTGGAAAAAGGTTTTAAAAAAATAAGCCTCTGAGTCCTTTTAGGGACTTTTTTCCAAAAAGCTTCGTTTTAGGTCATTTTTTGTCCGTTAAAGCTAGTTTCAATCATTAAATGCCTGAAAAACTGAATTACGATGTATTACGGTTTCAAAGACAGTTTTTTATCTACGAGATTCTTACCATCACAATTTGATTGGGAATCTGCTTATCTAAACGTATTTAGCACCAAACCTTAAAATTTGTCTCTAGAATTGTAGGTCAATCATGATGAGTTATGCCCGTCCGTATCAAAACAAAAACCATAAAAAATGACTTTGGACCGAATTTTTAATGAATAATGATGGGATTATCTTTTCAAGATTAAGAGATGACAAGATAGCCATTTTCACTTCCATACGGAAAGTTATCGAGCTTTTGCACTTGTATAACACTTTTCTTGGAACATTTGTTGAAAAATCACTTAAGTGGGATGCACGGCGACTGTGGTACGGTGACAGTAAGCGCCGACGAAGACGACGCCGGAGGGGCCAAGGAAATCCTGCAGCTGAGACTCCGCGGCGAGAAACTCGACAAGAAGGACTTTTTCGGCAAATCCGACCCTTTCCTCAACTTTTACCGGAGGCTCGACAGTGGAGAGTGAGTTTGGAGTTTTTCAAAGTTGAAACATTTTTTTCTATTAATTCGATTTTCAAGTCGGGAAAAGTTTCCTATATCATTCATTTTTCGTTCCAGCCGCCAACTCGCCCATCGCACAGAAGTCATCAAGAAAACGCTGAATCCCGAGTGGAAACCTTTCGAAATTTCTCTTCAAAATCTTTGTGGCGGTGATAAATCTCGGTATCTTCTATTTATTCCTTTTCAAGTCATTTTACCTCCTATTCAGACAGTTTCAAATCGAATGCTTTGACTACGACAATGATGGCGGGTGAGTATGCCTTTAAGTGTTTTTTTTTTTGGCAAGGTTCCAAAGTTTTTCTATTCTATCAATGCTTATTATAACTCATCTGCTTCGGAAGTTTGAGAAGAATTATTTCAAAAGTTCCTTTTTTTTTTGTCGTTTGGAACTTTTGTATTGATCCATAATGTAGCCGTTGTACCACGGCTTGGAATTTCACCAAACGACATTCCGCTGTGCCGCTGCGCGCCTTTGCCAACCTTGGTCGCGCTTTTAATTTTTTTTTTCTTTTATTAAGGTACTCTACTTTCATGTGCCCTCACAGCAATAACAATTAATTAAAAACGACCTAGATTCAAAAGACGCTTCGCGAACGCACGCAGCGGCACAGCGGAATGTCGTTCCGTGAAGTTTCAAGTCGTGGCACACAGACTATAACTTTGAAACCTTGCCAAAAATGTTCATGTCGAAAATTCAAGTCCCTTTCTTAGTTATTACTAGAGTAGTAAGCCTTGTTGCCGTTGTATCGTCGACTTCTCCTAGGATTTCCGAATAACCTGTCCTTTTCCACTAAAGTTGCTTCTTTCTAAGTCATTTGCATGGTGAGGCTTTAAGATTCATCAGAAGTGATGCCTTGATTCTGATAAAACTTGGCTTTTATGATTCTGAAAATCTGTTTTCTAAAAATTTTTCTTGATGTGGAGATCGCATAAATTAACATATTTTTTACTTCATTTTTTTTCGATTCAAAACACTATCGTCGCTCTTAAAATTACTCAAAGCTTTTTAACTCAGCATTGCGGTTTCGAGTGAACTTTGAAATCAATGATGAATGTTCACCTCGTTGAAAGTTATTTAATTTTTTTGATGTGACTACGGTAGCTTTTTCCTTGCTGTGGATAGTAACCGCTAATTCACAGTTGGCTTGAGCCATTGAGCCATTGAAAAAGGGTCCTGACACGAAGAAAAAAAAGAGAGAGTGCCTGGTTGATGGAGAGCATGCCACGCCCCTTTGCGTCACAAGCTAGCTGTAAATCGCCTATGAAGAAGAAATAAGAAATCATAACCTAAAGACCATGTTTTTTTTAACCATTGTTCAAAAAAAAAAACTACAACCTTCCGAGAAATTGAACTTTACTGGTCCCTTGGTGTGTTCTCCCGTGTGTGATACATCTGTTGTACCCCATACGTCCTTGTATTCCATATTTCAACGGCAACGAGGTCTCGTTCCAAGTAGGAAAACTAATCTTTGCAGTTTAAGTCACGATTTCATTGGCTCCTGTCAAACGACCGTCGAGGATGTGGCCATGGGAAGAGTTTATTCACTTCCGGTTGGAAAATCGATAACTAATCAATAATTAAACCAAGTTTCTAGCTTATAAATGAGAAGAAACGAGTCAAAAAAGGATCGAAATACAAGGATTCCGGAATTCTTCACTTTATCAGCGCTCATGTTGTTCGTCAGGAAACTTTTCTCGATTTCATCTCTGGCGGGTTTGTTTTCGCCATTTATTCTAGGAAAATAATAAATCAATTTTCAGAACTCAGCTTGATTTTGCTGTCGCTATTGACTTTACTGCTTCCAATGGACAGGTTTTCCGACCCATTTTTACAATTTTAAATGATTTTCTTAAGGTTCATCAACCAAATTCATTGCATTATTTTGCACCCAATCAGACGAATCAGTATGAAGTTGCTTTGAGGTTTTTCATTATTTTTTTGACTTGGAAGAAAACAGAATTTGAAGGTCCGTCCTGGAAATCTGCCAACACTACAACAGCAGCAAGAAGTTCGACGCCTACGGATTCGGGGCCAAAGTTCGGCCTTCCTCTGCCGTTTCGCCTGTTTTCAACTTGGTCTGTTTTCATTTTTCATATTAACAAGGGAGCTGTCGATTAATAATCATTAACAAAACCGTCTGAAGTCACCGAGTTTCAACTTCGTCTCATGAAAAACATAGGATGAAATTCAGGAGTTTTGATCAAATTTTTAGATTCTTCTTGTAAATTTGTTTTTTCTAATGAGTTTCTCGCAGAACACGACGGAGCAAAGTCCGACGGTTCTCGGCGTCGGCGGAGTGATGGCGGCCTACCGCGCGGCGCTTCAAAAAGTCGATCTCTATGGTCCGACCAACTTCGCCCCAGTGATCAAGGAGGCCGCCAAGAGATCGGCCCGCATTGGATCTACCGGCGCTAGATATCAGGTAATCGAAAAAAGTAGTTTGGCATGTTAGAAATCAGCGTTGAGTTCGGCGCATTTTATTCAAAACCAAGAACTTGAGGAGGACATTCCTGGTAAAAATTTATTCGTGAAAATCGGGAATTTTTCGAATTTTTGTTGTAAAATTTCATATTAACCATCAATAGCGCTATATTTTCATCGACCAACTCAATGAAAATAATTTTTAGTCGTTAATGGAAGACTGCTGTGTACGTAATAATAAAAAAAAGGCTGTTAATAATAAACCTGGAATTAGAAACAGTGAAGAAATATTATGAGGCTTGAGGTCTGTTGTTAGTTTTCGACTTTTTCCTCTTCCCTTTTTTTAGGACTTTTTATAGATACCGATTTCAAGTAAAAGCAACTATGAGGCATAGAAATAATAATTGCAGTTTTTGGCATTTGTCTCATTTCGTTTTTAAAATACCCTTCCTAATCTAATAAAACTGACGAGTTTCAAAGGATGAGTTGAGAAGAATGTCACATTTTGCCAATTTTCGTGAAATTTCCTCGAATTTACTGATTTTTTTCAATACCTTTGATTCGTTCAGATAGAGGACAAGGTCCTGTGATCTTTCTCTTGCTTCAAAAAAAAAAAAATGGGGGTGATGACTTCTCCAGCTTCTCCTCATTTTTGGACTACTCCAAATATTATATACATTTTTTTTCCTTTCAGATTCTTCTGATCATCACCGACGGCGTCATTTCGGACATGGCTAACACGAAAAGAGCCATCATCGAGGTTTTGAAATTATTTTCCATTGGAAAATAAGCTTTTCCAGGCGTCGGGCCTTCCGTTGTCGATCATCATCGTCGGCGTGGGGAATGACGCCTTCGAGAGCATGGACGAGTTGGATTCCGACGACCGACTTTTGAGTCACCAGGGATGGACCGCCCAGAGGGACATCGTTCAGGTTGGAAGCCTTTCAGGATTTTTTCTCACCTTGTCACGTTTTTTTTCCTGAAAGCTGTATAACAAAAGTCACTTGGATACCTGTATTTTTGGTGTCTTTTTTTGAAGAGTCTCGAAGCGAAAGCGCAAATAGTTAGCTGGAATACGGTAGCTTTTTTGAGACGTGTTTATCACACTTTTTCTGAAAAGCTGATCAAATAGGTCATCAGGAACTTTCGGATATTCCTTATTCATATTAACAGAATCAAAAAAGACGATTATTGATATTAAACTTTGGGGCGTCCTTGACCTAGGAGATCTCAAGCTAGAAAAAAATCGTCATTTTTTGGAGAAAAAAAGAATATTTTTTTCAAAATAACACAAAATATGCTCAAAGTGGTTTGTTCTCTATTGAAACGTTTCAATCGATTTGATTCGCTAGGAAAAAAGTTAGCCTTTAACAGTACTTTTACAGTAAGCCAGAAAGTGGGAAAAAAAAAAAAAATGAAGGTCTTGCGCGTAATATAGTATGACTTACTGGAAATCAATACTATTTTTTTTCAGTTTGTTCCTCTCCGCAACTTCCTCAGTCCTACCAACGCCATGCAGGGAAAGGAAGCCGACCATGCCATGGCGATGCTCGCCAAAGAGGTCTGTTTTTACAAGGATTCCTTGGAATTTTCTCAGGATTTATTAAAATTTCTTAGTTTTTCTCAAGGTGTAAAGGGCTAATCAGAAATATGGTGTTTGAGTATGGTCAAAAAAAGTCCTAGAGTTACTTGAAAAGCTAGTTTATACTAGTAATACGAAAACTGCGAAAATACCATTGGTGGAACTCGTTTATATTTTTGCACGTCCTTCCATGGCTTTTTTCTAATCGATCAAAAACTATACTCTCCAATAAAGAATTTTTCAGGTTTTGGCCGAAGTCCCACTCCAACTGACGTCATACATGAAGTCGCGCAGCTTCAAGCCTCGACCTCCGAACGATCCTTGGCCTCGAGATCCCGAACCCAGTGAGTTTTTTGGGTGTCCTGCAACTTTCCTGGTCCATAGAATGAAAAAAATTGGCCTTCAGAAGCTTTGAAGTTTGTCTGGTTTCAAAAACTTTCGATGATTCTCATGAAAATTTCAACCATTTTCCAGCGCCAGAACAACTCGCCGCAGCCGAAGGCGCCCACTACCCGCCCCAGAACCAATATCCGCAGAACGGCGGCTATGGAGCGCCCTTGCCGCCGCCTCATCAACCAATCTATCCGAACCCCAACCAGCCCTACCCACAGTATCCTCAGAACCCGTCGCCATACCCTCCCCAGTCCTACCAGCCATACCCGCCGCAGAACGGCCAAGGCTACGGTCCGCCGGGCAGCTTCTCTCCGCAGACGCAGCACTTCCACGCGACGCCTCCGACCCGTCAGCCACCGTATCCGCCGACGACGCAGCACGACGTCCTCGTCCAGTCTGCTCCGTCGGCACCGCCCGTTGACATGAACGACGTCAATCCATACGTCCAGCTCGGCTCTCAGAATCCTCCCTACCCGTCGGCTGGCTTCCAGAACGACTTCAGCAACATCTCCTTGAGATAATAGTCTAGATTTAACTGAACCTTTGAGCATAGTTTTTAGCAACTTTTTGTTTCTTTTTTTCCTTAGATAATGTTCTACCCTTAAATTTCGACTATAGTTTTTTATAGCAAACTTTCTCCTGGTCTTTAAGATAATATTCCAACGAATTCAACTTCATTGTTTTCTTTCGAAAAGATTTTTTTAGCGAAGCTTCATTTTGTTTCTCTCTAGCTTGTTTTTTTGTCAACAGTACAAGAAAAATAATTATTATTAAGAATCGCTTTTTAAAAAAAGCTAGAGAACAACGGTGACCTGAAGAGACGCTAGAGAAACGAGAATGTTCCAATTTATCTGAAGTCTCTTCGTGCCGCAGATGTTCTTCAACCTTTTAACAACTTCGATCTTTTTTTTCGTTTTTCATCCTAACGATTTTCCCTTTCTTTGCTCTAAAAATGACTTCCTCTTCTTGCCTTCACTTTTTTTTCAAAATGACCTACTAATTCACTGTTACGGGCTTTTTGATCTATTTTTTTTTTCTTTATTTTCTGTATATTCGCTCTTCTGTTGACTTCGTTATCGCTCTACGTATCACTACCAAAACAAAACTCGCTTCGCAAAATCTTTTTATTTCTGTATTTGTTATAAATTATAAAAATAAATTTTTAATAATCTGGCTTTGCGAATTTTTTTCCGTGTTTTGAACTTCACAAGGTATTTTCTTTAAAATTTAAACAGAGGGGCTTATATTGCTATTCCGAGTGTACTAAGTCTGTTTATGGCTGGAAGACTTTTTTTGTAGAGGGGACCTGAATTTCAACCAAATGTAGAGTGAAATGAAATGAGAGAAGATGACGTCACTTAGTATCGTTAGATCAGACTTTAAATGTCAAGTCATCCCCTAAGCTCCGCCCCTAACTCCGCGGTAAGCCAATGAGACAGCGAGAACTTCAGAAAGGAGTTCCGAGTGACGTTGCACTTGAAGTTCAACATCTGAACGGACTATTACGGTTTGAGATTCAGCAAAATGGAATGAATCGCCATTCTGACGTGTGCAATTTCCACGTCAAACTCTCCGACTGAGGTGTTGTGTTGGTTCGCTTCTGGCCCATAAAGCGCGAAATTAAACGGCGTTTCATGGGCGGTTGGCTGCTCGACCGCAGTTCGAGCGGATGTTTACGCCTTTTCCCTTCTTTCGTTGTCTTGTTTTCTTCCCGAAAATTGTCCTCTTCTGGTCAACAAATCGTCACTTACCTTTTGTTTTTTTTTTCTTGCTTGCAAGTTTTTATCTGAAAAAGGCCTTTTTTAAATAGCAGCCTTGAAAAAAAGTTAGGAAAAAAAAATGTGCGACTGGACCATTTTTGAATGAAAACCTTGCTTGCAGCGCTTACTCATGTGGAAAGTGATCAAAAACGTAGTAATTTTTCGCTTTTTTTTTGCCTGTTCTTAATCATATGATTCACTTAATCAACCTCTCATTTTTATCTAGAAAGTGAAAAATTCAACTCGAAACGAATTACGAGGATAAAAAGTAGAGATGTGGAACTTTTGACTTCTTCTAGAATTTTGAACCCTTCATTTTTAATTCATAGTTAGTGAAGTTTTTTACAAGCTCAAAATTGTTATTTAAGCTTCTAATCATGGTTAAAAACAGAAATGAGGATTTTCGCATGCACTAAGTAATCTCAATCGTTGCTTCATTTCCATTTTATGAGTTGGTGAAACGGGGATTTCCTTTCCTTGAAGGTTTTTTTTTCTCTTTTTCCGTTGGCGTCAATCTTGAACATTTTCACTGTGGATTAAGTTTCTTGAAACTTGCGGGAAAAATATCCAAGTTAAAATATGAGAGGAACTGCACATTTACCAATAATTCTGAGTGTTAGGACGTTTCCAAGATTAGTCGAAAATGTTGAACTTTGCGTTCATCGCCACGCTTTGAAACCGGAAAATGTTGTCTTTATGTTCTAATTTTTTCACAAAAGCTTTCTTCATGAGCTGACCTTGTTTAATATTTTATGCGCAAACTTTTTCAGAACTATTTCACGAAGTAAAAGCAGAAAAATGGCGGATCGGTACATCCGCAATCCATTTGAACACAACTACAAAGAGCAGCCTCTCTCGACGGGCGATGAGATCAGCCGCTGGCTCGACTTCAACCTCGCCAAAATCCGCGACGGACTCGGCAGCGTCAAGGATTTCGCCAATGAAAATGGTTTGTGAACAGTTTGAAAAAAGAAAATTTTCATCCAGTATTCCTTCCAGTAACTCTGATAGTTAAAAAAAAAACAGATTGGACCAGTTATGTTGATCCATTGACCCCTAAAGTGGCCACTAAAAATTTTTAGTGGCTTGGTAGTAGCACTTAGACTTCTATAGTGGCCACTAATTTTCAACCCCTTAAGAGGCCGCTAATTTGACTACTATGGTGGCCACTAAAAATTTTCCCAAAATTTGACTAGCCGGACCGTGTTTGATTGAGGTCTCGCTGATAAACCGGGCCGGTTCAGGCTTAGAATACTGTCGGAGGGTAGATAAGCTGACAAATTTGCGCCAGCGCACTCTTTTTTTTTTAGTATTTTTCAAATTTTTTTTTCCCATGTGCGAGGCCTGTGAGTTATTTTTTTTCTCTCTGCGGAATTTTTAGGTTCTCTCCAAAAGCTCGAATTATAACACTTAAGATTATGACGTGTACACTGGCATCGGAGGGGTTTATTGGGCGCTGAAACGATGCGAAAAGATGTGTCCCGGGCTCTACGACGAGTCCAACTACCAACTCATTCAGGACGTCTGCAGCGTCTGTGAACCTTTCATCACAGGTAAAATGCCTTGCGAGGGATTTCATGGATGTTGTTGAGGCAAAAGAAGAACAAAATCATGGTTTCCTTGGAGTTTCATGAGAAGAAAAACACGGGGTGAGCAATAAATTGAAAGAAAAGGAGTTTTTTGAAGGTTTTCACTACGTGTCTTGGCTCCTGTTCTATATTAATTTATCCAAATAGTTGATTTGAATAAGAATTCACCCAATCAATAATTTTTTTAGTAAAATTCGAGGTTAATTACTCCTTTATAATTTTTTTTCTCGGCATGTTTGTTCGAAAAAAACGACCATTCGATCATCTTTTTTTTCTACAATTGTTGATTTTCCAATAAACTATAAAACTATTTTCCAAGTGATTAGTTTCCCAGGAGCCGAAAAAGTCGATCGCCAATATCTGACTGGCAACTTGGCGACGATCGCTGTCATCGGAAGCGAGTCCGGACTTATAACTCCGGACGATTCATTCAAAATCCTGCGCCAAACTGGTGAAACGTTGCTAAAGGTGCGAACCCGATGATATTCCGAAAATTCATCGTTTTTTTCTAGTTAAACAGTGGGAAGGGAGACGACGAGTTATTCGTGGGGAGGGCTGGATGGCTAGCCGCTGTTCTTCATCAAACGTAACCTTTTTTCTCACATATGACACCGAATTCATTTTTTCTTTTGATAAGAAAATATATTTCAGAGATGATGTCCAGAAAAAACTGGAACAGATGGTCCGCGACATTATCCTCGTTATGATCAATGAAGGACAGAGAATATCAAAGTGAGTTTTAATCCAAAAATAAACAGGAAAGCCCATAATCGGCAGGTTTCAGAAGATGACCAAAGAAGTTTTTAGGAATTTCAGAAATTGGAAAAAATATTAAATATTCTTTGGCTTTATTTTGTTCAGATTTCTGATCATTTGAAAAAAAGGAGTTTAAACTATCATTTTAAAACATCTGGAAAAACCGACAAACTTATTTATTATTCCATGATTTAACAGAGAATCTTCTCTGAAGACTGAATGAATGTGTAAAATTTATCTGGAAAAAGAAAGTTTCGAGAATTTGCGTCTCGCAGTCTTTCAGAGCATCGATAAACAAGTAAACCTAATTTTGAAGTTCACTTATTCATTTTTAGGAAAATTGAAAAATTGTGGATGATTTTTGAGTAAGAAGAAAATTATTTAATAAGCTCCTTTTCACGGCCAAGTCAGTCAATTAAATCTCTGACAGGAAATTACAATGAGAACCGTATTTTATTGTATCGAAAATCAGTGCTGAGTAGATAAGTTAAAATGAAGTTTAAGTGAAAAAATCAGCAGAGTAACGACTAATAAAGAAGTCTATTAGTCGAAGAAAATGAAAATTCATTTATATCATTGAGTAACTGTATAGAATTCTTCTAACAGTGAGACTCTCAGGGAAGTGAAAGCCGCAAACGTAGAAAGTGTGCCGCCACTCATGTACTCCTACCACGGCACTTTCTACATCGGCGCGGCTCATGGATTGGCCGGAATCCTCACAATTCTTCTTTCGTGAGTTTGAAAAAGAAAAAATTATGAGATGTAGTCACGCACTTGATTTTATTGTAAGAAACTCTTAGAGGTCATAAAACTAATGTTTAGTTTGAATTCTCTTAATTTAAAATTGTATGAATATATTTGAAGATTCTGAACTGGATTGTAGAAGAAACGTCCTCATCAAAGTTTTCCTTTGAGATTTCACAAGATGATGAACAGCGAGGCGAAGAAGTTGGTCGTCGACACGGCTCGTTGGGTTTTTGGCCTTCAGGACGCCGAAGGCAACTTCCCGTCGTCAGTTTGGGGTCGAGAGCAGTGAGAATTTAGTATTTTTTGAGCGAAAAAAAAAAAGTTTGCTCTAGCGAGCTCTTGTTGAACATTATCTCAAGTTTGCGGTGAATGAACTATAGTTTAGTAGTTATATAAAAGGGAAAAGAATTTTTTCTAGAAAATCAAAACTGTTATGAAAATTTTTCAAACTATTTTCGAGCTCTCGTGAGACGTTCGCTGTACCAAAGAAAATTTTCAAATAAGATTTTGGGAACTTCATCGAATAAATGATTAGTTTATCCGAAGAATGTCGTGATAAATTTTTTTATCCCCGCTGAAAACGCATCGCGACCGTTTTGCAGGTCAAATGTAATCCCAACTCTTTCTAAATGTGGAATATCAAATATAAAACTTGAAGGGTCAGGTTTTTCAGCAAGACGAATAATTTGGTCCACTGGTGCCATGGAGCAACTGGAGTCTCGCTTCTGGCGATGAAACTCTACCTCGTCGATGAGAACGAAGAAGATCTGCAAGTGGCGCGCAGAGCTTTGCAGTGTCTCTGGACCCGAGGCGTTCTCCGCAAGGGAAACGGTCTTTGTCACGGCGTTTCCGGAAATGGTTGGTGCTTCAGAGATCCCAGTTTGGAATAAGTGTTGCCATGATATAGTCCGTTTTTCTGCGCCTTGCAAGGGATTTCTCTGCGCCCTCCTCGTCTCTCGACGACCCTATCTTTTTGACGCGCTATTTTCGCGTTTCTGTGACCTCGTCGGTGAAGGAACAGAGAGACTCAGACACTCGAAAACTGACTATGAATTAACCTCCATTTTTCACTGTTCATTAGTTCAGCCTCTCAATTTTTCTCTTTTAAACTATTCAAAAGCAATAAAACACAAGTTCTACTTCAGGCTATCCATTCCTGCTGATGTACCGACTGTCCGGCTGTGAACAGACCGAATATCTACAGAAGGCCAACTGTTTCGCGCAGATGACGTGCGACGAAGCCGTCGAAGCGGCTCAACGCGTCCCCGATTCTCCTTTCTCGCTTTTCGAAGGCCTGTCTGGCGCCGTCGCCTTTCTCGTCGACATTCATCATCCCAAATATGCAGAGTTCCCATTTTTCCCCATCTTCAGAGAGTTCAACTACTAGTTCTTGCAAGGTGCTTGGAATTACTTTTTTTTCCTTTTTCAAGTTTTAAAGCAGTTACTTGAGAAGAAATTTAGTACTGATCCTCTGCTTGAGGAGCCACTCCGAATGCTCTAAGTGATCACTTAAGAGGCAGCTCTGAATTCTTTGACAGTTCGGTTCAAGTTAGGAAAATTCGTCTGACCTTCCTGATTTCAAAGGATTCAGAAGAAGAGTTACATTTTTTTTTTCCCTAGAAGCACCTCTGATCAATATTGAGCTGAGCCCTTAAGCAATCACTTCAAACAAAAATCCTCAGGTTTTCACTTTTTCCATTTTCATTCACAAAACTTTACTTGAGCTTCAGTCACCTTAATCATTGTCCCAGGTCACTTGAATCGATTTGTTTTGAAGTATTCGTTTTTTCTAAACCTCTGATTCAACGATCATTGACTTTGTGGCTTTCTGCTTTTGAAGAAGCTCTTTAAGCAGAAAACCAACTAGTAATAAGCAAAATCATGTAAAAATTTCTTCTTCCTGATCATTTGAACGTCGTCGCTTGTAAAATATGTAAATATCTCTCAAAATTTTTTTATAAATAGTTAATAAAGTCTCTAATAAGTCAACCGTAGAGTTTGAGCAATAAATGAGCAAAAACGGCAGCACTCAAAGTGTTATTTATTCTTTGGAGTTGGAATCCTTCACTAAAGCCTCAGACCCGGTGAATTCCGGGTGTCGTTTGGTCAGGAAGGCGTCGATTCCTTCCTGGCAATCTTGCATCTTCAAGTTGCCCGCCATCACTTTTGCTCCGTATCTGAAGGAAACATATATTTTCCGATAATGAGAAGGGTACTGTATTACCGAAGTCTGCGATATTGCGTGCGTGCTCTCGGAGTGGGAGGTTATCCCCTTCAATTTCGATTTTCCAATTTTTTTCTTCGAAGCAAGTAAGCTTTTATTATCAGTTGGGCAAGCTTTATGCCATGTTCACGCACGCAATATCGCAGACTTAGTTAAGTACAGTAATCAGAAAAATCCGAAAATTCTAGCTTGTGTCAACATTTTCTGAAGTTTTCGAACCTGTAGGCGTCGGCCGTGTTGAGTTCCACCTGGGCGTAGAAAAACGCCTTGCCCAGGGCGGTCACCGACCGACTGTGAGCCCCGATTCGTTCAGCCACTTTCAGAGCTTCGAATTTCACCTGAACTGCAGAAAACGTCAAAAAGCTCTCAAAATATGCGAGATTTCGCTAATATGTCCTTGTAATTTGCATATTTTCGATTGGAATTTATTCTATTGAGTCTCAAAATTTTGAGCTTATTTATCACCCTATGCCTTCTAAAAAGCTACATTTTCTAGGATCGGAGAACACCGAGAATAAAAAAACTTCGTTTGTACATCTATCACCATTGTTTGTTTCTGTTTTTCAAAAAAATTTTTTTCTGAACTGTATAATTGAAATTTTTGATGGGCTTACAATAAAAAAATTTCATTACTGTTCAAAAATTTCCTGTCAAAAAAACGATAAGCTGAATTTCCGTCAAAGAATTTTTTTCAAAAATTCATATCACCTACTTATTATAAACATTTCTATTCCGGTCTTCAAAAAGTTTTGTAACTTTTTAAAAAAACTCAGTTTTCCTACCTGACAGTCTTCAACGAGCCTGGAGACGAGGCCGGCACGTAGGGCGGCTAAACAATGGTATATTTTGTTAGAAAAGGTAGTTGTTAAAGTGCAATATCATTTCTGAGAAAAAAAGAAATGTCTTTTTCCAACATTCAAAAAAAGTTTATAATTTACCTTGGGCATCGATAGGTTCTCCGGTAAGAAGCATATCGAGGGCGACTTTTCGAGGAACGGCTCGAGCCAGAGGAATTCCTGGCGTCGAACAGAAAAAGACCGATCTTTTGTCTTGAAAAATAATTTTATTACAAAAAAATTTCTTTTATTCATAAATGAAAAAAAGGAAACGAACCCTGGAACCAAGAATTTTGAGGAATTCCCTGCCACGACGAGGTCACAGGCAGCCACGAGCTGACATCCGGCGGCCGCTGCAGTTCCGTTCACCTTAATAAAATAGTTCAATAACTAGAGAGAAAGTTCGAGAGAACTTTGTTGATATTTTCCATAGAAACCGAAAAAAAAAACAAGAAATTCCTGAAAAACAAGTTCAGTGGCACTTTTTGGAGGGATTTTGAACAATTTTGAACTGCAAAAAAAATGCTGTTCATCTTTGCGATTAGCTTATTCTAAAAGAAAAAATTCGAAAGCAAAGATGCTCAATTTATTTTAAAAATTCACATTAAATTCATATTAATTTCACGGCAACACAAAACTAATGAAAAATATTAACCTCAGCTATCACCGGAACTTTCATCTTCTGAATCAACATCATCATGTCGCCGCACCTTTCGAAAATTTTATTGTGAGTTCCGGAGCCAGAAGCCGTCGTCTGCACACCTTAACTTTTACCTTTACTTATAGCATTTTCAAAATACCAATTCTTTAATTTGATGCCCGGCAGAGAAAGCTGGCCCATGGTGTGCAATGATTACTGATCGAACCTTCAATTATTTCGTTAAAAAGTTCTAAAAAACTGAAAAAAACCTTATCAATCTTATTTATGGCACAGAGCTCGTCATGAAGCTCGTTAACCATTGCGAGAGACAACGCGTTGACTTTTCCATCATTCAAAATCAATCGAACCACGGAATTTCCCTAAAAATCTGAAATTTTGAGTATGAAAAAGATGATAACCTGATAAAGCTCCCTCTCGATAAGTGACTTAGGTGTTTGGGAAGAAAGTGACCTGGCCAAAATCTTCCACATATCTCTTCAATTAAAAACTTAAGATTGTTTAAAGTACGCAAAACAGTTATAAGATGAAATAAAAAGCCCAAAAAAATTTACACAAATTTTTCAACAAGGTCGTAAATGTACACAGAGTTCATTGGAGCGCAAGTTCCTTCTTTGCGGGAGAATTTCGAAAAGGACCTGCGAGAGTTCCAAAAAATTTTAAAAACAAAAGCTCATAACTCCTCAACTAATTAACCACTAGTAGGAATCGGAAAGCGATCTTTTTTTTTTGAAAATTGTTCAAGTTATTCCGCGGAACTCCAAAGAAACGCCGAAAGTGAACAGCTAACAATTTGGAAAAATCGAAAAATTTTAATTCCTTGGAATCAGTTTAAAGTTTAAAAATTTCGCATTCCAAAAAAGATTCAGAAATAAACCTGATTTTTAACATCATTACATCCCAGAAACGATGATTCAAAAAAAAAGTTTATCTCAAAATGAACAAAACAAATGACATGGGTTGATTATGAAAAGCGAATAAATTATTTACAGAGAGTGAAGCAATACGAACTATTTACAAAGATTGAAGAAAAGGGGTATACCCGGAGGTAAATGATTTCAGAACCGGTTTTTTAGCAATATCTTTCTAAAATTGGGGTAATTGACAAGTTTTTGTGTACAATCGTTCGATGAACCCATAGTAGCATGGAAAGGAAAAGTTGAGAAAGTACAGAGAAAACAGCGAGGAAAAGGTACAAAGAAATAAAGGGAGCATTTGTTGGATTTCAGACGTAGGCCTGCTCAACTTGTCGTCGGGACTGTAAGAACCGTCGAAGCCAGACACATATGCCAGTGCAGATCAAGGAGACGATTCTGAAAAGAAAACTCTCAAAAAAAAAAAACAAAAGGTCGTATTCATAAGTTTCTAAATGGCTGAGATAAAAAAAGACAGCTGAAACTTGGAGAGCCAAAGATGATTTTGAAATCACTTTTTTTAGAAAAAAAGCACATCCTAAAAAAACGAATAAATGACTGTTTTTTTGCTGAATTAAAGACGAAAAATCAAATTGTGTGTTCCACTTGAAGAGCAGGAGTGAAGCGTAAAGGTTTTTAGCAAATTAAAAATTTAAGCATCGCCAATGACATTTTTTTATTATTTCAATAAATTTATAAAGTTAAAGACATTCTTTCAAGCTTCAAACATCCACAAACTTAGTGTGTGAAAGATGCTCTATCATACTCTAGTATAGACTAATCTTTTTCGAGTCAACTCACGAGACAGTAATGATAAGAAGGAAGAGCGCGAGGCCGACGACGAAATTCTCGTTGGTCGGCTGCCAGCTGGCGGCCAGGACGCCTTGGACGTGCAAGGCTCGGTTCGACTCCTGCCGCGATTCGTCGAAAGGCAGCTCGGCTACGGTGATTCGCGCGCTCTGTCGGATAAGGAGAGTGCCGCCGGCCCACAGTTCACACCCGTATTCTCCCGAGTCGGAGAGGTGCATCTGAAGAAAGAAACTATATGGGCTAATCCAGGAAAATCAATGACTACTTTTTTTAGTTTTAACCTAACGAGGTATTACTGACTTGAAGAGCAACTCATGAAGAAGTTATTGGTCTCAAAAATGCTTCATTTGCGTTTTAAAAGTTCTCGGATTAAATGAACCTTAGAAATGACGAAAATTTGTCCGTGGGCTGTGGTGGTGACCCGGACGGAATGATGAGGCTTGATTTCACTTCCATCTTTCGTCCAAATCTGAAAAAAGTCGATTAAATTTTAAATTTTGTTTTCAAAATTTTCATTCTAGTCCTTTACTCATTGAAGTCATGAAATCGAAAATACCTTTTTTTTCGCTCCGAAACATTCGAAGCCAAAGCTGTTTGACTTTTTTCGTCATCAAATCGATGTCAGGAATTATTCAAGCCAAAAAAAACTTTTTATGTAGTGTTCTCAAAGCTTGAAAAGTGTCAAGAATCCCTAAAAATTGGTATAGAATCAGATGATTCAAAGTTGAGAAAGGTTCAGTGAGTTAGCCCTGTTATAGCCCGCGTATGTCCCACCATTCTCTGAGCGCCAGGGATCAAGTCTACGAGACATTCCAACATGACGGCGTCGCCTTCGAGCACAGTCCGAGGTTGCAAGTGTGTTTGGAATGCATTTTCTGAGGAAAAAGGCATTCGAAAACTTGGGAAAGTCAAAAAACTAACTGAAAACACGGAGAGTTGCACTGGCTTGTATATGACCTGCTTCACTGGTGGCATTGCAAGTGTAGACACCCTAGAGAAAACTGTTAAATTAAACAAAAATTTTTTTCGCTACTGAAATATTGATTTTTTTAAAATCATATTGAAAAAAATTGATCAAATGGTTTCTACTGGATCTTTATTGATGTAAATAGAGAGGACTTTTTTTTCGGTAACTCTTTGAAAATCATTCTGAAAGTTTTTTCAATTGCCAAACTTTCAATTATTCTTCTCCTCCAAACATTTTTTTTCGCTTGAAAACTAAAAATCTTACAACTTTTTCTAAATGTTTCGCGTGATTAAAACAATTATCATGATTTTTTTTTTCCAAGCACCTGATCGGAAAGAGAAACGTTCATGACGTAGAGATGATCGTCATTTGGAACGACGTAGAGCCGCCGTTCCTCAGCCGCCGGAAAAGACTCGCCGCCGTCGTAGGCCCATTTCAGGAGTGGCTGAGGGGTTCCTTCAATGGAATCCCATTTGAAACTCAGTTCTTTGAGGAAACTAGGAACCTGACGCCGCGCACATGAACTTGGCATTCTGGCCCACGAGAAGGGCCATATCATCCGGCTCATGGAGAAAAGACGGCGGTTGTAGGACCTACATAAAAAGAAATTTGTTAAAAATTCGACTAAAATTTGATTTAAAAATAATTTAAAGAACTAGATTAGAAAAAAGAATCAAGATCTTCAGAATTTTTGAGTACTCAAAATAGTTCTCCGATGTGAGTCGAACTGTTTAAATTTTCAATTCATTCAATTTATTCAGTCTTGAGAGTAAGATGTAGAAAAATCTCTGCTGAATCATGGTTTAATCAAAGAGTTAGTCGTCGGCGCGGGTTACGATCCAAAAATCTTTGTCCAATAAGTTTTTTTGATTGGTTGTATTTTTTTCAGAAAAATAAAAAAATTATCTCTGAAACTCCAAAGTTCATATATCTTTTTTTCTAGCTTGTACGCCCATTTCAAAATTCGTCACATCACGTTGAACACGGCAATAGAAAAAAATAGATTACTTTCCATTTCTGCAATCTCGATTGTCTTACGTTTCAAACAAAGGCTAAATCGTTTTGAAATGATAATTAGTTTTGATTTTATAAATGCAAAATTGTCAATTAAAAAGAATTCTCAAATTTTCAAGAAAAAAATTTTTATAATTTTTTTAACCAAAACAATTATATTGAACTATTGACGCTACATCCAAAAACTTTTTAAAAAAAGTTTAAAAAAGGTTTTTGGCGCCGCCTGTCCCTCATATCACGTAAAACAAGCGAGGAAAAAAAAAATGAATGCTCATTTAGAAACTCGCTCGACCCACTGTATTTTCTCTCTATTTTTCTCATGACTCTCTATTTTTATGAAGACCTCAAGCTTGACGAGAGTGGAAAAGTCGGGGCCGAAGCGATTCCGAACGACGCACTGGTACTCGGCGCGGTCCGACAGAGCAACTTCGTGCAGGATTAATTCGCCAGCGGTCAGTTCGTGGCCGTCCATAGTTCCTAGGAAGCAACCCAATTTCACTATAATGATAAAGAGTAGAACAAATCCCCTTGTATGGCTAATTTATGACGACTTGAAGGACATTTTTTATAACCGAGAAAGAGGAAAGAACTGAACGTCCAAAAATCACAACTTCGTCTGCGGATAATCATGGAAAATTTTGTAGATCCACTTTTTTTCCTCCGTTCATTCTACACCTTCTATGATGTTTGTCTTACAAACTACAACGATCAATTTTGAAAGTTTGACTATCCAAAAAGAAATAGTACCATTGATGACTGCTGTAGTGTTGGTGTTGATGATTGTCGTCGAATCTTGAACCAACACTCGCGGTTTTCCGTTCTCGAAAACTCTCCACTAAATGAAAAACTTTCAAACCATAGAAAAACACAAAAATCCACCTCGATGGAAATCGGACCATGGCCATATCCAGTACAGGTGAATCGAGCATTTTCCTTGACAAGAGTTCGAACGGAGATCGGTTGGGCGATCACGCGAGCTCGCGGAGAATAGTCAGCTAAAATTAAGTTTTTGAGCTTTAGGGGAGGGGGAAGTCTAATGCTTTTCAAAACTTGAATATTTTTCTTTCTGGTGTTTCGAAAGATAATGCTTTTCTAAGACCTGGCATTTTTCAAAGGGTAAGTCTTGTTAAAATTTAAAGTTGTTTCAAAGCTTAACAGTTTTCGAAGCCTGAGGGTTTTAAAGATCCAAGACTTTTCGAGACCCAAGAACATTTTTTTAAGTGGCCGTCATTCAGAAATTCGAATGACCACAAGTCAAGTTGGCGACGTCGATGGCGACGACGTCGAGCGACTTCAGAGGCGGCGGATGAGCACATTTCGCGACGACCGTCGAACGATCCAGCCGCGAGTCGTAGAGCCACGAGCCAAACCAAGCGATTTGGCAGTCGCAGAGGATCGACGACGAGTTCATCATTCTGAAGCAAATCAATTTATGCGATTTCATGAGGAATGAATCACAATTTCTTCAAATGAAGCGGCTCAAAAGCGCCAGGATGAATCGTGGCGATGGGGTTGTCAGACAGGTCGAGCACTTCCAGAGCAGGAAATCGCTCGAAAGCTCTGAAAATGACCTTTTCTTTTTGATATTTTGGATATCAAAAACCTGTTGGGAATGACTCGAAGCTGATTATTCGTAAATCGGAGCCATTTTAAGAAAGGCATCGACGTATTGTAAAGAACGGCTCCATCCTCCACACAAACTGCTAATCGATTCGATGAAAGGTCCAGTCTGAAAAAGTAATTTGGATACAGGAAAGCTCAGATGACGGGTAAATTAGTAAATTTTCACTATAGTCTGTGTACCACGACTTGGAACTTCACCGAACAACATTCCGCTGTTCCGCTGAGTGCCTTTGCGCGCCTTTAATTTTTCATTTTATTTAAGAACTCGACCAAATCCTGGTGGAACAGTCCATCTATCAGAATTGAGAACAAATTCAAAGCGAGACCGAGGCTCGCAAAGACCCTTCGCGACGCAGCGGAGCCGCGGAATGTCGTTCGGTGAAATTTCAAGTCGTGGCACACAGACCATATCAAAATAAGCTAGTTGCTCTGAATTTTAAAAACTTTGATGGAGTGTTCGTCAGAGCGCGAAACATGTTTCAAAAAGAAAAAGGTTCATCGGCCTATAATTATTTTTCTAGGGAATTATAGTTCATCCGCTTGAACGTTTTCAACTTTCTACGTCTCTCTGTTCCCTCAAGAGGTCAGAGAAACATGAATTAAGCACGTCATCATGAAATGGTCGGCGAGAGAGAAGGAAGGCGCAGAGAAGCCCCAAGTGGGGAAAAAATGGACTTCATAAGTGATTCACGGCTGGCTTGAGTCTTTGAAAAAAGGGTCCTGGCGCGATAAGAAAGATAGTGCCTGGTTGATGGAGAGCTTAGACAAGTCACTTCATTTGCGTCTCAAGCTACTCGGGCAAAGTAGGAATGGTGAATAATGGCCGCTAAAAGAGAGAGGCTCAAAAAAGGCGGCAGAAAGGCATCAAAGTCAAGAAATGGAGAAAGGGAGTGCTTTTTAATTCGAATTTTCATTTAATATTTTGAATAATGCTTTCGAAACAGCTTCAAGGTTAGTAATATGAACCTGTGAAGACTGTCCAGTCCAGTCATGGCGGTTTTGTGCAGATTCTCAATGGAATTTCCGGACAAGTTGAGTTCCTCTAAATGAGACAAGGCTCGAAATGAACCCGAAGGCAAGGATTGTAGGCGGTTACTGTACAGAGAAAGCCATCTGCAACTTTTCTTTTTATTATTATATATACTTTGAGACAAAAGTTTACCTCAAATGAGGGCAGTGTGACCAAGCGTTGGGCTCGAAAGAAGTTACATGGTTGAAGGAAATATCTCTAAAAAAACGAGAATTAGAATATATTGAACTGCATAGTCAAATTAAAAAAAGTTCTATAGGTTTTTTTGAAGTTTTTTTCCACGCACAAACAAATTATGTTCCAACAAATAGAAATTTTATAAAAAATGTTTCAAAAAAAGCTGTGAAGAAATTTCAAACAAGAGATTCTGAGTAGAAATCAATTTTTTTGATGAATTTAGAATCTGGTTTCTTACTTATCGCTGAAAAATTGACCAGGAACCGATGTTTCAAAAAAACTCAAAAAAATTTCTTCAAAAAAATTTTTTCATTTCAAGGAAGTTTTTTTAAAAATAAGTTTACACGGGAAAAAAACTTACTTTCTGATAATTTTTAAAAAAGTTATGTCTCCATTGAACTTCGGGAATTTATCACGTTTTTTTCAAAAAAAGTAGAAAAAAACTACAGGATAGAGAGATTTTGCGGACTTCGTTACAAGACCAGTAATCTAAAGGATTACGGTATTTTGGCAAGAAAAAACGTGACAAGTTGGCACAAAATAGCCTACATGCTCCTTTAAAAAACTCAAGAAAACTTCTCCAACATCAAAAACTGACAAATATTTCAGGCTCTGAAGGCCAAAAAGCCATCCTTCAGAAATGGTGGCCACCCGGTTATGTGACACGTTGAGCATGGCTAAGGAGTCGCACTTTAAAAATATCCCGTCTCCAAGCCTGAATATGACTTTTTATAGGGAAATTATTGGTTTTGTTGCCTGTGGACTTCATTTTTGGACAAGGAGACGTTGAGTAAAGAGGGCAAGTCGTTGAAAACCAGGGAGGGAACTGTTCGAAGGGCGTTTCTGGAGAGATCACTGGAATTTCCAGCTTTGATTCTTTCTAAAAGTCTCTCAAAGGCTTCATGAATTTCCTGAAGAAAAAAGATTCAAATAACTTTCAGAAAAATTCCGAGGGAAATTAAAACCCTTGTGAGAAAGCAACCACGCGCAATATTTTTCAAATCTTCAAATTTGTCCATTTATGGATCTCTCAATAATTCCTATTCTGAACTCTGGTTAAACCCCATTTTCTGGGCCACTGTACAAAATCCTCCAAAACGAACAGGGATTCGAGGTACGGTAGCCGATGAAAGCTGTTTCGCTGCAAGACGCCGATTTTGTTTCTCGAGAGCCTCAGGGAGATCAACGACGGCAACGAGATGAACACGTCGGCAGGCACTTCGCGGAGCAAGTTCGAGGCCATGTCTCTGAAGAGCGCAGATGACTTGGAAGATTCAGCCGCAGACGGACAGTCTTTCGACTTTGGACTTGCGCGGGAGACGCCCTCGGGGCAAGTTGGCGATCAGATTCCGGGACAGGTCGACGTGTCTCACGCTGGCCAACATGGAGAGGTCGCTGTTGGAAAGCTTCGAGATCGAGTTGGACCGACTTGAAACGGCTTTTCAAGGAATTTTCTGAGAAAGGACCACTAACAGGTCAATTTTTTCGAGGTTTTGAAGATGGGCGATGCCGTCAGGGACTCGGATCAGCCGATTTCGACGCAAATGTCTGTAAAAATCATGAAAATTAAGTTTCTCATTTGAACTAAAGAAAAAGAATTGGAGAAGTATTGACCTAAAAACAATTTTTTTATTCGATACCCAACTAAAAAAAATAAAATCTCAACTCAAGCATACTTATACCTCGTTCATGCAAAACGGAGGCGCTCCGGACGTTTTCGAGAATTTCTACGGACCACTTAAGAGATGTGATGCCGCTGAAGGGACCACTATAGATGCTCAGAAAGTTCGGTTTGTATTACCGATGTCCCATTAATCAAAATTCAAGTTGCATTTTTTTTGCAAGCGATCTGAACTTCTCCAAACTAGAAACTTTTTCAAACTCCAGAGATTAAAATAATTCACCACCGGTTAACAATAAAATCAACATGAAAATACAGAAACTTACAGAACGCGAACATTGCGAACTTTGCGGAAGAGAGCCGTGTCGATGTGTCTCAGAATGTTGTTGGAGAGATCTCTGCGAATTAAAATCTTGATGAATTCAATATTTTCTAACTGACAGCGTCGTCAAAAATGGAAGGTAAGCGATTCGGTCAAACTCGATGAGGTCAATATCGTTGCCGCTGAGGTTTCTGAAGCAGGATCAGAGTTTCGAAGCAGGAATCTGTTTTACAAGGTCCGAGTTGAGTTGGGAATGCCGGCGGGGACGTCGAGGAGGTCTCTGGAGGAGCAGTCGACGACGTCGCGGAAGCAGCTGCAGACGGCGGGACACGTCGACGACGTCGCCACATTTTGGTAGAGCAGCAGGAAGAGCAGCAGCAGCATGTCATGAGGTATGCATCGGGGCTTCGACTGAAACTCGGAAAATGGGTGCAGAACTGAACTAGTTCGCTTTTCAGGTCATTTTTTCGTTGAGTTGGGGAGTTTCTATAAAATTGCTCTGACAACAAATGATAAACACTTTCAAAATTATATTTTCAAAACGAGAATTTCTCGCAGATTGCGACTATGCGGGTCCATGAAAGAGTGTTCTAGAAAATTTATGAAAAACTCCAAGAAAACGGCCTTCCATCAGTCAGCTTACAAGTTTTTTGTTAGAAAAAGGAACAAAAATAATTTTCAACTCCAGGAAAGCAAAGTCGACAAAAATAAATCAGTTTAGACCTCAGAGGGTAACACTGACTTTAACTTACACAAAAATTTTTAAGAAGAATTTTACAGGAGCATTCGCGGTCTATGAACAGCCCATGTATGGAAATAGGAAGATTCAACGGCTAGAAAAGCTCATAAATCACTGGAATCACGAAAAAAGGAAATCTCACATGCAGTTCATAGAGCAACTTTTCGAAAAATATATTTTTTTATTTATGTCTATTCGTGGTTTTTTTTTTTTAAATAAATCGAAACTTCATGAGGCTTTTCGGCACGAGACCTTTAAAAAAACTGTACTATGCTCCTTGAAAAAGCGATAGCAATCGGTTATAACCTCTAAAAAAATTTCTGAGATTTTTTTAAATCTTGGTTCTAACCAAACTTTAATTTGCGGCTACAAAAAATGGATCATTCCATTTGTTTTGAAAAAGAAGAAACTACAAAAATTTTATATCCACTCTTCAAGTCAGTTTTTCTGTAGAGTTTAAATGCGCAGTCTGACTTTTTTTCTTGTGAGTTCAGAGCTGACCGCAAAAGACAAACTTCAAAGAAAAAACTTATATTTACAATATTCCAAAAGATTACCATATCCTTTCAAAGCCGGAGGAGAAGGTTTGAATGTCAAAAAGAATTTTTTCGATATAAGGATGTAGAAATAATTCTTTTAATTAGAGGTTTGAAAAATGAAAATTTCAGGAAACCAATCACATAACCGAGCCAAAAATGACAGGGTGCGGAAAAAAGATGTCGGAAATTGGAGCGTGGCACATTGGGTAACGACAATGTGGCGCCGGCTTTCCGCCGCATCTGGTGCAAGGAAGAAAATGACGAGGAAAACAAAAATCGGAAAGTTGAAACAAAGAACTTTTTCGAGAACGGATATATAGAGTTTTGACTCGTTTTAAATTATTAATCTCAAGGAAACCGACATAGGAATCCTTCTACGGAGAAAAAATGAAGTTTAGTGAATCCTTGCGCGAAACTCCATACAAAAACTTTCTTTCGATTGACCGGTTATCATTTAACGTCTCTACATGAAGACCTTAGGTTCTTTATCGAGGGTTTTGAGCGCTTTTTGAACAAAAATAGGTTTATGAGTCGAAATGTGCAAGCTAAGGAAAAACTGCAATAGTTTTAGGCAAAATCTTACTCCTTCTTATTCCGGAAACAGAAGAAAAGCTACGTGGTGAGGGAAGAAAACTCGCAGTCATGGAAACTTGGCGAAACAACTCATTTGTTATTGTAGTGTGCGACTAGAAATTTGAATTGACTCCTAAGAATTCATTAAAAAACTGGCAAACTCTTCGAAAATTGTTATGTAAAAATGAACAAACCGGAAAGGAGTCTTGACAAAATAAAAACGTGCAAAGTAAATTCAATTTTTTCAAAAATTTTCTTTCATAGGGAGCGTTCCAGTCCATAAACTCACAGCAAACAGATAAAAATTAAATTTATTATTTATGAAAATTTATAAAACATAATCCAAATACTCTAACATAAATAAACTTCAATTTTTTTCAAAGATAAGCAAATGTCAAACAATATTTTCAACCACAAATAAATGCCAGCCAAAGTTTTTCAACGTTGCTAAATTTTTTTGAATTAGTTCATTTTTTTAAAAATATTCAAAAACGTCTTTCCGCTATCAATCACTATGGCCATCCGCTAATGAGCTTATCTTCAGATTGAAGTATACGCTTGTAAAAGTGACTGAACGGACGTCTCTCCTATGTTCATCAAAAAATATTGGTATGGAACGAGTGGAGGAAAGGCGCCGAGCTGACGGCGTTTTATCAACCTGCATGTTCCACACTTTTTTTGACAACACGACTTTCCTTGTGAGCAAAAAAATAATAACTTTTTGGGAAGGGAACGATTTAAAAAAATGAAGAAAGAAAAATAGGAAAATATCATCAAATCTAATTGTCGCAGCTTTTTGCCTTTCTCGACATTATTTTTCGAGAGTAATAGTCCGATTCAATCAATTTCTGAAATTAACGGACGAGTCACTAGACAAACTAGTAGTTCCAAAGCTCCACCTACACAAACTCGCAAAATTTTCTCATAGATTATTCTTCAAATTTTAATTTAAAGAAAAAAAAACAAATACTAAAAAATATTCGAACTTAGTGAAACAGAAACTTGGAAAAAAGAAGAAGTTTGACTGTGAGAGTTTCGAAGGAGAACGCGGCCGCCATGACAAAATTTACGATTCGTACGACCCGTCGGTCATCTGTCTACCTTAAACCAACGCAGCCGATGTTCTAGCCGATTCAGAAAATTCGAATCGTTGTCCTTCACTTCAAAGGATTAAAAGAAAGAAAAAAAAGTTCTAAACTAGTTGAGATGTTAGGAAAAGGTTGATTTCTCATCAATCACTACACAAATACTCACGTTTAATTAAGGTCAACATGAAAAGTCGAGTGTAAGACCAAGATAGTTTGAAATACTTTTGAAATCTGCACAAAGAAAGGTGAAGTGAACTTTAGTTTCTTTTTTTAATCAAACTGCAAAAAAGGTTCTCATCCAAATTTTATATTCTCGATAAACAGAACAAATTAATTAGTCTATTTATTTTAAATATAAATAAGGCGGATAAAAAAATGTTTCATGAAGATAAGACAAACTATTTGGTCAGAAATAGTTTTCCTCAATTATTGTAGAAAAATTATGAATTGAAAGAAAAAGGTGAGTTCAACTGGCAGAAAAAAAGTGTACTTCCACACTAATTCACAAAAAAACGAAAAGAAATAATTAAAAATTGATAGTTTCGAAAAAGCCCAGTAAAACTTGGTCAAAGATCACCGCGACGACTTGTTGCGTACAACCATGATACCGTACATCTTCTTGAGAAAGAAACATTTTTTGCAATTTTTTTCTAGTTCTCGCTATTAGATTGTTTTTGAAAGGTTATCAATCAAACTGATGGAGAAGAGTGATCTCTTTCGGCAGGTACTTCTCGGAAACACGTTTGATTGGTGACAGTGATAAAACAAATAAAAAGGAGAGAGAAATCAGCGAGAATGGACAACTTCTTGATAAGGAGAAGCGACGAAGACAGATGACGACGAGGCGCGAATCGGCGAGAAATGGTTCGCGAACGACGAGCTCAATGGGAGAGGAAGGCGACGCGGCCGCGACGCACCTTCCCAACACAAATACCAGCGGTTCGTCTTTGCCTTCTTCTTATCAGTCGGTCTATCACCAGCCTGGGGAATCCACACGTGCGCGACAGACTCAGCGGCGGAGAACGCCTAGAGTTGCGCCAATTTTTTTCTGTTTGCTGGCGGCCAGACCTTCTGACTGCGGTTTTTTCCGATCATCGCTGAAAACCTAAACCGTTGCGAAACTTCTTTTTTTTGGAGGGTTTTTTAGTATTATGCTTTCAGAACCATTTTTTTTTTTTTGGAATTCAGCGAATTTTTGAATCTTTATTTGCTCTAAACGGTTTCTGTTAGGCTCACGGAGGCTGGGAATCATGGACTAAAAATGCCAATTCAATTTTCTAAACCTCGTTCATCAAAAACGATATATGGTTATTCAAATGAAAAATATTGGGTCTTCAATTCTTCCTGGTGAGCAAAGAAAATAAAGTCAATTATTCCCGACCTGGAAGGAAAAAATGAGTAAATTGGCAAAAGGGAAGCGTTGCGTACGCGACGCGGCTCCTTTTGGCGGGAAACTCCTGGTCAAAAGCGGAAATGAACAAAAAAATTTTTTTATTGTTTGTAGGCTTTTAAACGTTCAGCTTAATTTTTTTTTAAACCATAAACAATTAAAAGTTAGTGAAAAATGTCGAAAAAAAATGAGAAAACACTTTAAAAGTGGCTCCAGTTTGAACTCGAGTTTCCCGCCAAAAAGCCGCGTCGCGTACGCAACGCTGCACCCTTACTTTTTCTACCAATCTCGCTTTACAAGTCCGGAACAGGTCTTGACTATATTTTTTATTCGTAAGTTTCACATGAAGTCCTAGAAAAATGGACATAAATAGGAAACAATAAAATATTCGTCATCGATAAACGAGGATTAATTGAATATTCATGCGGACCTTGCAGAGAACAATAAAGTAAAATCATAAATCCTACTCGAATTCGATTTTAAGAGTAAATGCGAATATTCAAAAAACTAAAATAAAGCATTAATTTGAAAAATCAGCTCCCGTAATACGCGCTATCGCCGGCAACTCGAACCAGAAGACAGAACCATTTGGATTCTCGCTGAAAACGAACTTATTTCCGTTTTTGGAAGGTTGCCAACTATGCAAAGAGTATCTCTTGAAGCCGAACTGATGCAGTCGCAGAAAACGTCGTCGCAGCTCTTTTTTCCGCTTTGAGCCGTGTAACACTCGTCATGAGCCATGCAGCATTCGTTGAACGCTTCTGAAAATATCTTGTTTTCGAATTCTATTACTTTTAAATCATGAAGCGGATCAGCTTTCAGAACGAAATTCGAAACTTTTTTGTAAACTTACCGACTTTGGGCCTGCAGTCGCGCGTTACCAAAACGTCGGCGAGACCATTCTGAAAAATCGAGATGATAAAATTTTGGCCACCTTCAAAAAAGGGTTAGGAATTTTCATTTTTTGTCATTTTTTGAGAGTTAGATGAAAAAATATATTCTATAGAACTTTTTAAATTTCTTTTTTCTGGTTTAAGACTTCCTGAACAGATTAAAAGCATAGGGGCAGTAAAAAAATGGGGTTTTAGGTGAAAAAAGTATCTTATATAGTTTTTCTTTGCGAATCGAATGGTGTACTCAAAAAAATTACAGATGTGACAACTTTAGAAGAAAAACGCGATTTTACTTTCCCGCCTTTAGTTTTGAAAAATGCTTCGATTCGCAATCAAAAACTCTACAATAGTGCATTGAACTGAAACACCGTCTTTTACTGCCCCATATGCCTTTAAGATTTGAGAGGTAGAAATGCTATTCTAAAATTACGAATAACAGCCTTTTTTTAAACTTCAGGGATTCCGCGGAAAACGATTTTTACTTTATTTCATACTGCCTCATGGTAATTTATTAAACTTCGAAAAATAAAATTCGAAAGACAAACCTCAAACTTGTTCCTTCCGCAGGCAAAATAAGCAGACACAAATACGACATCGATAATTAGAAAAACCCATAATCTCGCCATCATTTTAACCGTAAAAATAAAAATGAGCTCCAGTCAGAGGTTGAAAGTCGCTTGGGCGATGTGAAAAGGTGACAAGTTCCGCAAACATTCGAGCTTCAAGTATTTGAACAAATCGAATGGCAGTTTTTTCGCGATGAATTATAAGTATCGGTGGAGAATACTCCATTCACCGAGGTTTGAAGCGCATCTGGAATGGCTCGAAGCGTCGCGGACGCGTTGCGGCTAGAACCGATTGAAGGTTTCGAATTCGGCGTCTTCGAAATATGAAACAAAGAAAGCAAATAAAATAATTTACGAGTCTGCTCTTCAATTTAATTCTCCAACAAATGGAGCATATGGAGTTTTTTCTCTATCGCCTTTCATTGTGAACCACTAAAACCAATAATGATTTGAGATAGATTTATTAAACGCTGGCAAATAAACCCGAATCACTTGCGATACAAAAAAGCACGTAGGAAGTTATTAAGTAGAAGTAAAGCACTGCTGGACGTAGATTCTTCAGGATTTCGTCGAGTTCAGAATCCCAACACGCTTCGACTTCCTCCTGCAATTCAAAATCGGTTAAATGATGCTGGAATGAGTCAGAGCGGCTGAATGGTCTCAGAAAAAATTGGAGGATGTTTTTCAGTGGCGTGTTGAACTCGGAGAAAAACTTGAGATATCAAAAAGGTGTTCAAACTTAATTTTTTTAAAAAAATATCAACTAATTAGGAAAAAAATTGGAAAAAGTGCTTATGAAGCAAAAACTTAAGCGAAAAAAACGCTTCTTAGTTTATTAAATTTCATTTTACAAACTACCAAAAAAATTTTTTTCTCAAAAATTAACTTTCAAAAAAAGCTTTTTGCTAACTTATCAATTATTTATTCAATTCTAAGCTTTCCGAAATTTGAAGGTATCACAGCTCACTAATAAAAAAACCAGTCAGACCTTTATTGTAAAATTTTCGATAAACTGTGTAAGTTTCGAACTCACGGGTTGGGACAGGAGTGATGACTCTAGGGTGATTCCTCGAGGGGGCGACGATCTGACGTGAGAATGGATGCGGCGACGTGGCGACGTGTTGCGACGGCGCCACCGCCTGCGCTGAAGACTGTCGGATGTCTGCAAAATGTATCGTGAATCGAAATAAACTCTTCGGAATTTCCCCTTCCCAAAATACGGTCATTTTTCTGATGCCTCTTGAAATATTGAAAAAAACTGAAAAAAAAGTTTTTTAAGTAAAAAATTGCCCAAAAACAGTTATAATGAGATCAATCTTAAAAATCGTTTCTCTCGATTTGAGATGAAATTTATGAATTTCCGAATCTGTTATTTGGAAAAAATTTCTACGGAAGTTTTCTAAAGAAGCTCTCGGAAGTTTTCCGATCCCTATTTCAGCTGAGTGATCTTCCGCAATTTCATTTGAAACGAAAATTCCAACCTGAAGACTCTGTGACGTCGTTTCGAGAGGCGGACACCGTGAGAACAACTGCTAGGACTACCGCGATAATCTTCATCATCTCTGCTTCTGAAAACACTTTTCTTTGTTCAACTCCGATCTGAGAATAACAAGACAGATTTTTAGTCGACTATTACAAATTATGCACGGATAGAAGTAATTTTGCTCAAGTTTTTTGCGGAAAAAATTACGAAAAACTTTTCAGCGGGGCTCAATGATCAAAAATAACTGAATAAAAATAACTCCAAAAAACTAAAAAAATTTCCAACACAGAAAATTGACAAAAAACCAAAAAGTACTCATTTCTCCTATTCTAGAAACAAAAGGAAAACGAAAGTAGACAGAGAATCATAACAGAAGTGGTATAGGGAAAATATAAGTAATCTTTTTTTGGTACGAGTCACAAAAAAAGGCCATAAACTTTTCGGCTTCGCTCAATCCGATTTTTATGTCATTTTTCCCCTAATTGTTCGAAACAAACAAAAAAGGAGAATAGAAAAAATAGAAAAAAGGACAAAAATGAAAACTCGGAATAAAGATTGAGTCAGAGAAAAACGAAAGAAAAACTCCACATTTCGAAATTTAAAAAAAAAATTGAGAAGATTGATACTGGAACTCGAAGTAATTCATCGTTATTTTCCTATAATATTCCTATAAACGTTATTTTAATTAACCAAAGATTTGTCTTACGAAACATTTTCGACATCAGTTTCAATAGCCTGAAAACTTCGAAAAAACTTTCAAAGCGATTTCAAAAAGTTTCCAATCGAAAATAATTCTGAATAGCAGGGTTACGTACGCAACAAAGTTTTCATATATATATTCCTATAAACCTTATTTTTATTGCTTGAAGACAAATAGTGCATGTGAAAAAAGTAATAATTTGAAGTTCGAAAAAAAGTTTTGAGCTCTACAAACCAGATGAGAGAGGAGGAACTGCCTGAGGTTGGCAATACGGGAGTTTCAAGTAGGGCCGATTTGTTGGTTTGGCCAGCAGAAGCGCGGTCAAGTGCTTGCAGAGTTATCCCCGATCCTCCTACAAGGCTCGTTGGCTCGAAAATGCGAGTCGTAAGGTGAAACTTGAGTTGAGTTCAAGCTACAGAGCTAATAAACATTGAATTTTCTTCGAAAATTGCCCAAATAAATCAAGAATTTCGCTGTCTTCAAAACCTTGAAAGGCTACATGGTTCTACTAGAGGAGAAAAAAGTACTTTGGGAAATTATAAAAGAGTTTGGAGCTCATAAGTTTTGAAGACAGGAACTTTTTATCGACTTCTATCTTAAAAGATTGAGGACAACAGAAAAACAGAAAAACTGGGGTGATATCAAAAAAGATAAAAAATGATAGTTAAGCTAAAAATTTATCTCAAAGGAGCTTAGCCAGGTTGAATAAAACAGTTTTCTTGATTTTCTGAGGCTCCACTTAGGGGAAATTTTAAGGGAGCAGTCTTTTTTTGAGGATACTAGCAAGGTTTAAAATTTCAGACTATTGTACTAAAAAAAAAATGTAAACTGCCAAAAATATTTAATTATTCAAATTATCCTGGATATTGGGAGAAAAACTTGAATAACTTTTCTTACAAAGCAAAGAAGAAGACGTCTGAACAAATGCCCAACTTTGGGGGGCCAGGAAACCGTCTTCTAGGCTAAGCTGCCAATTTTCCGCTTATTTTCGGGCTTCGCAACTCGTTTTTTTTCGACAGCCTGTAGTCGTTCTAATTGCGCCATTTTTCGAAAGCTTTGATGGTGGTTGGCGGGGTGCCAATGTCTTTTAAGACTTGAAAAGGTAATCAAGGACTCGAAGGAAAGAATCGCTTTCTTTTCAGCGTGACCTTCGAAAAATGGGTTTTTTTATGATAACTATTTCTCGATGGTTGGAAAAATAGAAAAAAAAAACAAAAAAATCCGTCTCATAGCCGTCTTTTTTCCAGATGTTTGAAAAGAATTAACCTATCTAAAGTTCAGGTTAAATCGAGTTATTGAAATAATGAGGTCGAATAGAATATAGTGAAAGCAGAGATTCAGAAAAATGAATTTTGCCGGGCATGGAAGAAATGTTTGCTCGTGGAGCACTGTTCTGGGATCATCAACGTGTTCTGGACAAGTTTTCCAGCACATTTCGCCCAAAAAGTCAAATATTTGCGCATCCTTATTTAATTACCATCCAATAGAATATTTTCAACATCATAGTAAAAGAAAAGTGAAGGAGGAAATGACGAATTGAATAATTATAGCTTCCATTCAGAGATAGTTGAAACTTGACATTCAACTCCTTCATAATAAGTTTCCAAGTCGTCAATTACCCTAATAATGGAGGAAAAGTGGTGGTGAGAAACCGCAAAACCAGCAAAAAAAGACCTTTCAGGAAAAAGTTTTGAAAACGAGTTGCGGTAAGGGAAATCGGGTCGTTTGAATTTCTCTCGCATAGAAATTATCCTCCCGCATACAGTCATTTTCCTGCGGAAACCATTCAAAGATTTCCGCGTAATTTTACTCAGTTTCTTCTATTCTTCTTGTGGTTTTCGGTTTCTGAAACTTTCGAGGTGAAAAACTTGGGGGTAAAAATAAAATTCAAATATAAAATCGTAGCAGCAGGTAGTTTTCCTGTCTACGGTCCAAGGGGTCGCAAGTTCGATCCACACCGCAAACCAACTAAAGGGTTTAAGAAACGTTAGCAGTGGAAAACCAGGGCTCGAAAACTCACAGCCTTCCCCATAACCGGACGGATAAGTCATTAAAGCCAGTCATCCGATTTTCACTGATATAGAGGTAGGACCTCGTTTCAATGACGGGGAGCCGACGCATCTCAAGCGGTACAAAGGCGTAAGGAGAATAAAAGGAAATTCAAAGGTTATAGTATTCAACTGTAGAAAAAAGAAGGCTTCCGAAATCTTGAAAAAAAAACTCTGAAGTTCAAAGACAGAGACAAAAAAAAGAAAGTAATTTAACTCTAAAAAAAAACTTGTCGATCAGAACTTCGAAGCAAATGATTGCTGATAGTTCAAAAGAGAAACTCAAAAAACTCCATTGTCCTTGCTGAGAAAACTGAAGGAACACAGTCGTCGAAGCCATTCAAGCAGTTAGGAATCAGAATGTTGATTGGAACTTTTCTGAACGAGTTCCTGACGTGTCGAACTTTCTTTAATTGTTTCAGTGTTCATTCGTTATCACTGCGTCGAGTGCCAAAGATCATTGGGTTTTCGGCGAAAAAAGAAAAGAACAACAAACAGGAAGGGAGCGGTTGGTCAGTTATTAAAATGAGAGTAAAAGGAGCGGAAAGGGCGTCCCAGATTCGGGCGAAGCAGCAAATTGGGGCCTGCATATGATTGTCGTCGTCGTCGTGGATTCGACACACGAGAGCCCGAGGATCCGCCAATCCAATTACAAACCGCGGAAAGCAGTTGCGTTTCAGGCCTTCATGGGGTCTGGTTCATGTTTATTATTTGTTCAACTAAATATTTTCGAAACTGTTCGAATTTCATAGAGGAAATTATCTCCACAGTAACTATATATGTTTTGGTGAGATTTTTTTATGCAAAAACTTATTGGAAACATTAAAAGATCAAAAAGAATGTAATTTTTTTTGATTAAAAAAATGTTTTACTCGATTCACGACAAACGATTGAATAAAAAAATTAGACTTTTCAACAAAAATTTTTACTTCTCAAAAATTTTTTTGACTATTTAGTTTTTGCTCAATATCTCATTGTAGATAAAAAAATTTGAAAAAAATGATCAAAAAAAGCTTCGTGTTTCAAGTTCCTACATGTAAATTTAACTCTAATGAGTTTCGGTGGAAAATCGTAGAGAGAAAAACGTTTTTAGATCTTTTCATCGAAATTGAAATATCTCAGATATATGCAAAACGGAAGTGAGAAGGTAAATTTTGAGAGATGAAGCTGACAAAAATAGTGAAAGAAAAAAAAAGTGGGAGATAGTTGAATATGAACTCAAGATCGATATACTTTTTTTTTTTGAGGTGAAAAACTTCAACCCAATTCTAGTTACCGTGAGAATATTGAAAATGAGTCGATCGATCTGGTCTGGCTAGACTATAAAATGAGCGGAAAATCAAAGAGAATAACTTTTCCACAGGAAGACCGGCTTCGGCCTCAACTTCCAGCAGTCATTTGCACTTTTCGGGCCTTGTCCACTTTCAGTTCTTCCGCCGGTAATGGCAAGCCTTTGTCGGATTGTAATAGTCCAGTGAAAATAAAAAGGATCCCAAGGAAAAAATGAGGGAAAACCGAGGCCATGAATTCTGAAAATTCGGAAGAGAAAGTAAAAGAAAGAAAAAAACTAAGAATAGCAGAAAAGAAAAGAAAATTTAAAAAAGTATTTTTACATCAAGAAACATTTTTTTTCTCAAAAAGGTCAAACGCCTAAAAGTCCCCAGGTGAACTTATAGACTAATTGCAAACCTTGAACGACTTCTTTGGAGGACATTAAAAAGGCCGTAGATATAGTCTATCCACTATCATCTTTAAAATCAGATTATCGCTTAAAACATCACAAAATTTCCAAAATTTCAAAAAAAAAAATGTCCAAGCCCGCGCATTTGGGCTCTCCAGATGTGGCACCTCTGAAGGCTCATGAATGGTCTTATCAGAAAAAGTCTCAAGAAGACGAAAAAGAAAGAGAAAAGGACAGAGAGCAAAAACTTTGACAGCTGAAGGGTCAACCGGATCCGCCTCTGGGTACAGTTCTTTGACGCGACCGCAAACATTCCGCTCCTCCTCCCTTATTTGGCACCTTCGCCACGCCTTCTTCCGCCACGTGTGGTCCTTTTGAAGATAAGTTAAGATTAGGTTCATTTGGAATGGTGATGAAATCGAAAATGATCCTCAATCATTCATTTTTTCCGGCTCAAATCGTCAAAACAGCTCATTTCAACGGTCTTTGTGTTTTCTCGAAAACTAAGAAGATTTGCAAATTGAAACTTTCAAGGCATTTTTCTGGTACATCAAAAAGTGCTCTGGCCAATTGTCAGGAAAATATCAACGACAAAATAAAACGACTTTCCTAATTTGATGTTGAAAAATTTTTTCAAAGCTGGAGGTC